CTCAGCCTCATCCTCTTCCGCGGGATGGACCCCAAAAAAGATATCAACCTGGGTTTATAACGTTCTGGGGTTATTGACCAGGGTTCATAATGTCTCGCCCAGAACATTTCGAACCTGGGTTTCAATGTTTTGGGAATATTGACCGGGGTTCATAATGTTCCCCCTGGAACATTATAAAACTTGGTTTGTAATGTTCTGGGGATATCAACCCAAAAAATCAGATTAACCTGGGTTCATAACGTTCCGGGAATATCGATTGGGGTTTATAATACCCCAAGAATAATGTAACCGGGTTTTTCGTAATTCCGGAATGATAACAATCATCATTTTCCCCCAACCCCGGGTTCCCTACCAGGTTTTTCATGTCGGAATATTGACCACGGTTCTTTATCTCCAGGAGATAGTAAACCTGGATTCATAATGTTCCTCGAATATTGTCCCCGGGTTAATGGTTCTGGAATGATAATGATTGAGCCTGGGGGGCGCCGTTTGAGAGTACATTCCGGACTAAAATAAACCCTGGTCCAGTCCATAATGTTGTAATATCAAATTTAGGTTGATTATTCCAGAAAGATAATGATTCGGCCGGGGGGGGGGCTGAGCCCGATCCATTCACAGGACGATAGTCCATAGGGTATCATCTGACGATAACGAACCTCAGTTTTCATTTCTAGATAATAAACCACGGTCGACGAGGATTTCGCACCGACCCTCCTCCTCCGACTCATCCTCCTTCTCACCCTTCATATGCTTCATACTCCTCCCCGTCCTCCTCTTCCTCTTCGTCCTCCTATTCTTCCTCCTCATCATCCGCCTCCTCCTCCTCCTCCTCTGGCTCCCCCTCATATGCCTCCTCCACCTCCTCCTCCTCCTCGTCCTCCTCCTCCTTTTCCTGAACATGATCATCCTCCGCCTCATGTTCCTCCTCAATGTATTCTTTCCTCTCCTCCTCCTCCTCCTCCTCCTCCTCCTCATGGCCGTTCTCCTCCTCCTCCTCCTCATCCTCCTCCTCCTTTTCCTCCTCCGCCTCCTCTTCCTCCTGTTCCTCCCCCTCCTCCTCCGCCTCCGCCTCCTCCTCCGTCTCCGTATCCTCCTCCTCCTCTTCTTCCTCCTCCTCCTCCTCCTCATCATCATCATTGTTCTCCTCCCCCATTGTCCTCCTCGTCTTCATCACCCTTCTCCTCCTCATCCTCGTCCTCATCCTCCTCATCCTCCTCATCCGCATCCTCTTCTTCCTCATCCTCCTCCTCCTCCTCCTTGATGACCGTCCATCCCCCCCCCCATCCTCCCTCCGTATCTTGCTCCTTCTCCCCCTCATCCTCCTCCGCATGATCATCATTATCATAATCATCATCATCATCATCATCATCATCATCATCAGCAGCATCAGCATCAGCATCAGCATCGTCATCATCAGCATCATCATCATCATCCTCATCATCATCATTTATCAACACCATCGTCATCTGTCAGCATCATCATCATCATCCTCAGCAGCAGCATCAGCATTATCACCATCAGCATCAGCATTATCAGCATCATCATCAGTAGCACCATCATCATCAGCATCATCAGCATCATCATCCGCCTCTCCCTCCATGTCCGTCCACCTCTCTCCTCCTCCCCAACCATCCTCCTCCTCGTCGTCCTGCTCCTCCTCATCGTGAAAATGGCCTGTATCGAGGGTGTGGGATATACGTGTTGGGTGGCACGCGGGCAGACAAGTGCGAACAGCCTTAAAATGAGCGTTGTTGGTTCTGTTGCTGGTCTTGGTGGTGTTGCTGTTGTTGGTGCGGTTGGTGTTGGTGGTGTTGGTGCTGGTGTTGGTGGTGTTGTTGGTGGTGGTGGAGTTGATGTTAGTGGTGTTGCTGTTGTGTGTGATGGTGTTGCTGTTGTATGTGGTGGTGTTGTTGGTGGCGCTGGTGGTGGTGGTGTTGGTGGTGGTGTTGGCATTGTTGTTGGTGGTGGTGTTGGTGTTGCTGGTGGTGATGTTGCTATTGGTGTTGATGTTGATGGTGTTGGCGGTGGGTTTGGTGGTGGTGGTGCTCGTCCTGTTGGCGCTGGTGTCGGTGCTGGTGTTGGTGTTGTTGGTGGTGGTGGTGGTGGTGGTGTTGCTGGTGGTGTTGTGTTGGCGGTGTTGTCGTACGTTGTTTTTGGTGGTGGTGGTAGTGGCGTTGGTGGTGGCGCTGTCGTTGTTGGTGTTTGTAGCTGTCCTGCTGGTGGTGGTGGTGTTGTTGGTGTTGGTGTTGATGCTATTGTACTCTCACTCCTGAAGAATAAGTATTGTTGCCCCCCCCCCTGCGCGGTAACCATTGCACTGTTCAATTAAAGTGTTTCTTCTGGGGTCCGCACCCTGCTTTTTACACAGGGAAGCGGAGCGTCACCAAATTGGGCCCCTGGCCCCCGAGTGGCAACAAGAACAACCAGTTTACTATCATGCGCCATGCCTCCACATGTCACATGCATCCTTCTGGATGCCACACCCCATCATGGGGGACGTTTCTGGCATGCGGGGCCCGATATTCCTTCACCTAGATCTTCCGCCCAAGAAAGCACTGCCACCACATCTCCCGAGACACTTCGACATCCACAGCTCGGACGGCACATCGCCATCGCAATCGCCCTGCGCACGCCCCGCATCTCGGAGGAGGAGGAAGAGGGCGAGGAGGGAAGGGAGGATGAGGGAGAGGAAAAGGGAGAGGAGGAGGATGGAGGATGAGGAGGAGGGGGGAAGGAGGAGCAGTTGCAGCAGCAGTACCTCCGAGAAGGAGGTAGTTCTTACTCCCCGTTCGAACTGTTACGCTACCATCTTGCGGCCTCGGCGCGTGGCCCTGAACGTTCACACCCCCAGGCGCTACCGCCCCCGTGCTCGCATCCCCCACCTGCCCCCCCACGCCCCCCCATGGATCCTTCGACCCTCGATCCTCGGAGCCCCTGGAAGTCATCCGCCCTCCCCCCCCCTCCTCCACATTATCTGCGCTATCCGAAAATGATAGTTATTTAATAAGTAAGGTTCAACAGGGGCTCTTGGAAGCCCCCCAGAGGCGATGCCGAAACGAGGGCCCCAGTCTTGAGTTAAAGGGGAGCGACAAGGGAGGACAGAAGGGGACAGGGGGGCGGGGGGAGGGGGGAGGGAGGCAGGAGGAGGGGGGAAACAAGGGGGGCGAAAAGGGAAAGGAGGGGGGAGGAGGAGGGAGGAAATAGGGACGGGAGAGGGAGAGAAGGGAGGAGGCAGAAGAGGAAGGGGCGGAGGGGGGAAGCGGGAGGGAGAGAGAGGGGAAGGAGGGAGGAGGAGGAGGAGGAGGAAGAGGAGGAGGAAGAGGAGGAGGAGGAAAGGGAGGAGGAGGAGGAGGAAGAGGAGGAGGAAGAGGAGGGAGGACGACGAGGAGGAGGAGGAGGAGGAGGAGGAGGAGAGAGGGAGGAGAGGGGAGGAGGGAGGAAAGAGCGACGGAGGAGGGAGGAAGGAGGAGGGAGGACAGGAGGGGGTGGAGGAAGGAAGAGGGGGGAAGAGGAGGGAGGGGGGGGGAGGGAGGAGGAGGACGAGGAGGAGGAGGAGGAGGAGGAGGCGAAAAGGGCGCCAGTCCAGCGTAGAACGGGAGGAAGTCTCGGGCGGGAGCGCTGGTTCTGTCGGGATGGGGGTTGTCGGGGGCAAGCAAGAGCACCGACTTGAGTAAAAGAAGGGGGAAGTTTCGAGCGGGGGCGTCATTGTTGCTGGGGGGCGGCGCCGATGAGAGAAAGAGTGGCGCGCCTGTCCAAGGCAAAACGGGAGGAAGTCTCGAGCGGGAGCGCCGGTTTTGTTGAGACGGCTGTTTTCGGCGGCGAGCAAAAGCACCGGCCCTGAGTAAAAAAGGAGGAAGTTTCGAATGGGAGCCTGTACGCGGCCCCCAAACCGCTCGAGATTGAGCCTCATTTTCAATGAAAATGCAGCCGGCGCCTCGGCGAGCGCCAAGGCGCTTGTAATGGGTACAACAATAATAATGAGTTCGCAGTTAACACTCAGCAACAACAACAACACGTACAACACTTACAACAACAACAACAACAACAACAACAACAGCAGCAGCAACAACAGCAACAACAACAACAACAACGGCTCCCGCCTGATATTGCCTCACAGTGTATGTCAAATATGCGCTCTCGCGCGGGGCCTCCTCAGAATGTGTGCACGAATCGCGCTGTTGCGCGGAATTGCCTTGCTATTTCTTCAGGCGTCGCGCCTCCAACTTTTGGGAATCGCGCTGTCGCTCGAGATTCCTTCGCGGTTCATGCTCACGCTTCGACAACCCGCCTGCTCGACCTGGCAGCCCGGGCCCGCCTTCCCGACCCGCCCTTCAGGGTCTACCCGCCCGATCTGCCCGTCAGGTTTTACCACGTGTTTTTTGGTCCTAGTCCTTCTTCTGCTAATCTCTCTCGTCCTCCGTCTTCCTCCCTCCCCTTTCCATCCGTCCTCTCTTCACCTGTTTTAGGGGCTGTGCCAACTACACGCGGCAGGTAGGGAAAAGATACTCCCAAGGAGGGTACGATCGAAGACGAATAGGGCGGGTACCAAGGGTTTGGGATACACGTGTTGACTGGCATGCGAGCAGGTGTGAGCAAATAGCCGTACTTTCTTTGATTGTTGTTGTTGTGGTTATAGTTGTTGATGGTGTTGTTGGTGGTGGTGGTGGTGTTGCGGTTGCGGTTGTCTTTGTTGTTTTTGTGTTTGTTGTGTGTTGTTGTTGTTGTTGATGACGCTGTTGTTGTAAACCGAGGGCCATGGGCACATTTTGGTGACACCACATTTCCCCTTGTAAAAACCAGGTGTGAGCCCCGGTAGAAGCACTTGAATTGAAAAAAGCACATTGGTCAGCGGACAGGGGGAATCAACAATGATTATTCTTTTGAAATGAGGAATGAACAGCAGCAACAACAACAACAGCAACGTGATCTCTTTACAAGTAGGTTTCCAGATCGGCATCTCTCTGCCCCCGGTCCTCCATCTTCCGGAGCCCGGCCCGCAGGTGGAAGCCGCGGGGCGAGCACCGCGATGCTATCGACGGTGGCAGCGACAGGCCACCTTTGTCCGCGGCCGCCGCCGAGGAGAGGCCCCGCGAGCAGAGCGAGGGGAAGGCGCGGAAGCTGGGCCAGTGGGCCAAGGACTGGGGTGAGAAAAGGGCTGTCCCTGAGATCCTGGCGCGGCATTTTTTCCATCCTGAGATTCTGGCGTTGCATTTTCTATACACCGAGCGTGTTCGCCCGGTTTCGGGCACCAGGATCCTCACGGACCGACCCAGCTGGGGAAGTGCCGCAGACAGATGGGGTCTAGTGCTTTGGTCGTGATCGTCAGCGATGCTGCATGCTTCGCAGCGTCGGATTTCGGGGCTCACCAACCAGATTTGAGTCGGGCCTGTCCTCCTACAGAGGGATTTTGGACGAAAAACAACGAATAGTCAAAAAAATACACCAAAATGGTTTTAAAAAATATTCAAAAAATCGTCCCCATATTATTTGTTTACTATTTTTGAGTATTCCCCCTGAGGGCCGAGGTCAGCTCGGGGAGGGTACCCTGAGGTTCTTCGTGTTTGTTGCATGCTCAGCTGCATGCTCGGATGTTCTGTGTGTTTTGGCCGGCGGAGGGATTTATGCTCTTGAAGGATGTCATGATGTCCCAGGTCCGACTGTAATGGAAACGGCCCCAGCGCCGACCCCCAGGAACAACGGGGATGTGACTCCCCGTTGGCCTGCGGGACTGTGGTGCCAGAGTTGCGAGGGAGGGAGCGGATCGGGGATCTACTGACCCGGGTCAATGCAAGCCTGGGCCAGTCGGGCGTTGCAGGATGTTGCAAGATCCTGCAGGATCTTGCGCGCTAGCCCGGGCCAGTGCAACAACCCTGGCTCTGCAGGATCTTGCAAGATCCGGCGCCCTGGCTGTCTGCCGCTTGCATTGACCGTAGACGGGCGAACGGCGATGTCGGTAGCGGCGATGTAGGTTTCGGTAGTGTGGGAACGCGTGGCTCGCGCTTTCCTACAATTCGTTGTGTCGTGCCCCTCTCGATCCCTTCGCAGCTTGGAGATGTAGGGAAGAGTGTGGCTCGCGATGCCCTGCAGCGTGGTTCCCAACATCACCCTCAAAGCCACATCGCCGCTGGCCCGGCCTTGGATGGACCCCCATCCTCGAGGCTCCCGACGAGGGGCCGGGAGGCCAGGAGGCCCTGACCCCCCAGGCTCGGTGCGGGGGCGGCTCCGCCACGGGCCCTGGGGAGGTGGGCCCCTGGCGGTGGTTCGCCGCACGCGGCCTCCCGGGGCCCTCCACGGGGCGGCGGTCGAGCGGCCGGCTCTCCCGCCCGAGCTCGTCCCTCCCCACCGGCCGCCGTCGGAAGTCCTGGACGTTCGAGACGACCACGGGCAGCGGCGCTGAGCCGCCGCGTCCCTGGGGGATGGGCCAGTGGAGGGGGAGGATATCGACGAGGGAGGAGGAGGAGGAGGAGGAGGAGGACGACGACAAGTGTTAACCCAAGATTCATCAACGATATTGCAATAAGCCCTCCCTCCAAGTTCCCCCTTCACAGGCCCCTACATGGGTTCATCTTCACTGAGGGAAGTGCCCCGTTGGAAGACAACCGTTTGAAGAACCTGAACTGTCCCAGAACACCAGTCGTGGGATTTCAACGCCAGTGGGGCGTGGACCATGGGAATCCTTGAAATTGCTGTAAATGCTTAAAACGAATGCGCGCGGCGCTAAGGCGAGAGCCACAGTTTGAAAAGCAACCGCCGCCCACCCGTGAAACTCTTGCGATTTGTTCAGATGAATGTGCGCGGCGCTAAGGCGAGAGCCACATGTTGGAAACGGCACGCCTTCCATCCGTGGCATTTCTTGCACTTGTGTTTCACGAATGTGCGCGGCGCTAAAGCATAAATTACAGTTTGAAAACGACCTGACCTCCATCCGTGAAGTTCTGGCAAACTTCAAGCTTCAGGATCATAAGTGGTGAGGAAGTCTCAGGCGAGACGCCCGGCCCACCCTTTCGACTGGCCGCGGGATGCGACAGGAAGGAGTTATTTGTTTGGAACAGGAATGGAGGAGGAGAAGGAGGAGGACGAGGGGAGGCGGAGGAAGAGGACGAGGAGGAGGAGGAGGACCAGTGTAAACCAAGTAGTCATTAACGAAATTGGAAGGAACCCTCCCTTCAAGCTCCCTCTTCACAGGCCCCTACAACGGTTCATTTCCACAGGGGGAACTGCCTCGTCGAAAGACAGCCGTTTGAAGACCCTGAAACATGCCAAAGCATTGTTCTCCAGATTCCAACGCCACGGATCAACCTGATTGTTGCGTCTTGACGATCCGGAGTCGTGCCTGAACGCCATTCCTGGGACTTCAACGCCGCGAACCAACGTAATTGTTGCACCCTCACAATCCTGAATCCTTCCAACACATAATTTCTGGTACGCTGATCATGGGAAGCCGTGAAACTCTTGCAAATGTTTTGGTGTTGTTATTCCCTACCTAGGCTCTGCCTAGAGGGTTCTTACTCTCTTAGCTTAAAGGGGCCGGGCAGTGTTCCCCGCCCCGGGCGGTTCCCCCGGTCCCCGCCCCGCGGTTCCCCCAGTCCCCTGGGAGTTTTAGCTTTAGCTTTAGCTTTAGCTTTAGCTTAGCTTTAGCTTAGCTTTAGCTTAGCATTAGCTTAGCTTTAGCTTAGCTGTAGCTTAGCTTTAGCTTAGCTTTAGCTTAGCTGTAGCTTTAGCTTTAGCTTAGTTTAACCTTAGATTTAGCTCAGTTTTAGCTTAGATTTAGTGTAGCTTCAGCTTAGCTTCAGATCAGCTTTAGTCTAGCTTTAGCTTAGCTTTAGCTTAGCTTCAGCTTAGCTTTAGCGTAGCTTTAGCTTAGCTGTAGCTTTAGCTTAGCTTTAGCTTAGCTTTAGCTTAGCTTCAGCTCAGTTTTAGCTTAGCGTTAGCTTAGCTTTAGCTTTGGCTTAGCTTTAGCTTAGCCTTACTGATACTACTAATGCTGCTTTCCTAGGGGCTCCAACTCCTAGGTAGGGTCGCACTGGGATAATATATAAGAAAATGTGCACGGCGCTGAGGCGAAGGCCACATTTTGAAAATGGATCGCCCTCAACCCGCGAAACTCTTCCAACTTGTTTAAAAGAATGTGCGCGGCGCTAAGGCGAGAGCCACACTTTAAAAACGACACGCCCCAAATCCGTGAAACTCTTCCTACTTCAAAAAACGAATGTGCGCGGCGCTGCGGCGAGAGCTACATTTTGAAAACGACCCGCCCTCCATTTGTGAAATGGTTGCTAAGGTTTGAGCTTCAGCGTCATAAATGATGAGGAAGTCTCAGGCGAAACGCCCAGCCCGGTGCGACAGGGAGAGATTTGCTATATAAGGACAAGGAACGGAGTAGGAAGAGGAGGAGGAGGAGGAGGAGGCAGAGGAGGAGGAGGAGGAGGAGGAGGAGGAGGAGGAGGAGGAGGAGGAGTAGGAGGGAGGAGGAGGAGGAGGAGGAGGAGTAGGAAGAGTAGGAGGAGGAGGAGGAGGAGGAGGAGGAGGAGGAGCTGGGGCCGTACAAAAAACACTCGTCACGAAGAGCTGGTCCGGGAGAAGGCGCCAGGGAGCCGGCCGGCCGCCGCAGCCCCCCCCAGCAGGAGCCGCGGGCGGATCGCCGCCCCGCTGCCGCCGCCGAGGATCGAGGTTCGAGGATCGAGGGTCGAGGATCGGGGATCGATCTTCGAGGTTCGAGGATCGATGGTTGAGGGTCGAGATTCGAGGATCGAGGTTGAGGATTGGGGGTCGAGGATCGAGGTCGAGGATCGGGGTTCGAGAATCGAGGTTCGAGGTTCAAGGATCGAGGTTGAGGATCGAGGTTCGGGGATCCATCGTCGAGAACCGATCGTCGAGGACCAAGGTTCCAGGACCGAGGTTCGAGCATCGATCGTCGATCCTCAGGACCCTCGCTATCGTGCCGAGTTCAATATTGTGTGGTTCGTGCGGTTGCAGGAGCAAGTACCCACGCCGTGGTGGCAGGCAGCCGCCACGAGCGTACTCTACTGCGCGCAACTGCTCTCCCGCACGGAACGTTGAGACGAGCGAGGGGAGGAGGAGGAGGAGGAGGAGGAGGAGGAGGAGGAGGAGGAGGAGGAGGAGGGGGAGGAGGAGGAGGAGGGGGAGGAGGAGGAGGGGCACGGGGAGCGGGAGGGGAGGAGCAGGAGGACCAGGACAAGGACAAGGGAGGAGGAGGAGGAAGAGAAGGAGAAGGAGGATATAGGGAGAGGTGGAGGAAGGGAAGGAAGGGTAGGAGCAGAAGGATGAGGGGCAGGGGGAGAGTTGAAGGCACGCTGCGGAACGACAACTGCCGGTGATGAGCAGATACGGACAGTATACAATCATCATCGTTCTCCTCGTCCTCGTTCACATCAGCATCACCATCATCATCTTCATCATCGTAGTCGGCATTCTCATCATCATCAGCATCATCATCAGCATCAGCATCATTAGCATCATCATCATCAGCAGCAGCATCAGCACCATCATCATCAGTACTATCGTCGTCATCAGCATCAGCATCCTCATCATCATACAATCAGCATCATCATAATCATCATCATGGTCCTAGTCATCAGCATCATCAGCATCATCAACATAATCGTCGCCATCATCATCATCATCATCATCATCATCATCATCATCATCATCATCATCATCATCATCATCAGCAGCAGCAGCAGCAGCATCAGCAGCAGCAGCATCCTCATCATCATCATCATCATCATCATCAGCATCATCATCATCAGCAGCAGCAGCATCACAGTATCACCATTACCGTTCCCATGATCCACCTCTTAGTCTTCCTCCCTCCTCCTCCTCCCCCTCCTCCTCCTCCTCCTCCTCCTCCTCCTCCTCCTCCTCCTCCTCCTCCTCCTCCACCTCGTCTCCTCCTCCTCCTCCTCCTCCTCCTCTTGTTCCTCCTCCCTACCCCCGAAGGCAGAGCTCCCAGCTGCGAGCCCTCCCTGCCGAGGAGCAGATCTGGGCCCTGAGCCAGGGGGCCGCCAGCCAGTCCACCGCCAGCTGATGGGGCCCCGGCGGGGCGCGTTCCGCGCCGTTCACAGCCCGGCGGCAGTCGCACCGTTGCCAGGGGCCTTCGGCACCTTGGGCAGGGTCCATTTCGGTCCGATCGATTCGTTATCGATGTTCGCTCCGATTCGATTTCGAGCGCGAGTTCGGGCAACTGACCTCTTGATCTGGGCCCTGAGCTGCTTGCCTGAGAGCTTTCGCGGTCCCGCTTGTCTGCCGCCGTGCCTCTCTGCTGCCCAGGGCCTTCCTCCCCCAGCGCTGCTTCCCCCGCGAAGCTGGCAGCCCCCCGCGGACACAGCGGCGCCGCCCTGTCCGGTGAGCGCGCCGTCGGCCGTCTCGATCCGATTCGATTTCGATGCTCCGGCCATCCGATGCGGCCCGATGCTTGCATGGCGTTGTGGTTGGTCCTGGCGCAGCCGATCGTATTCGATTTCAACCACGTGCCGATGCAGCCCGATCCCATGCACATTTCGATTCGATCCGTTTTGTTCATTCGATGCTGAGTGATCATGCCCTTGGGGCGCCGGCGAGCTCTCCCCCGCGTTCCCGCTCGTCTTCCTCGCCTATGTCTTTCTCATGTCCTGTCATGTTTCCCTCCCAGACATGCTCGCGTTATGTATGCGTATATGCGCGTATATATATATAGATAACACAAAACGACGGGAGGCTCTCGACCGTTTTCTGCCTTCAGAGGCCCGTGCCTAAGGACCGTCAGAGAACGAATCGAGATAAACAACGGGCCTTGGGGAAAGGCTCGGGATTTCCGAGACCGCACTCTGAAGAAATTGAGGCATCGCATGTCTGGGCACGTCTCATTCACCCCGCGCTCCCGCCCGCCTCCCAGATGCCTGGTGGGAGTCCTGCGGCAGTTTTTTGGCGCAGGGCCCGCGCGTGGCCATTGCATGATTCAGTTGGCGTGGCTGCAGCCACAAATTTACAGACGGGTATTGGAGGAGAGCGTTCTGCGCGCCACGGTATTGGCGGGACCTAGATTTGAAAGCGCTGCACGGCGGAGAGGCCCAGAGTGCAAACAAAGATGCCAAGGATCCCAGAGGAAGCACGCTTGGCCACGTTCGCTGGCGCGTGCGAGGCGAAAACCATCAGATATGGCTGTGTGAATGGCCCTGCGGAAGAGCAAATCTCGAAACTCTTGTTGGCGGGGGGCGCTTCGAAGCCGTAGACCTAGCGCACGAGATATGACCATCCACATTTGACAAGCCGCTCCATGTGCGCCCCCTCTGCCTGCACGTATGCAGGGTCGTTGCTTCGTCTTTTCGTGAGCAACGTAATTACTGGCGAGAGCGCGCAGAGGCCAGGATAAAAAGGTATGCCCAAGAACTGACTCCTGCTCACCGGGATTGCCACCGCTGGGTGACGAGTGTGCCCTCGCTGGCTCGGAGAGCCCGCCGCCGCCTCCTGCTGCACAACTGCACCCGATGCCTCGCTTTCTCGTGACCCTCACCGTTCCGTGGCTCGCAGCACGACGCCCACATGCGGCGAGGGCATCGGACCGCGAGGGGCAGAGTTCGGGAATGCCCTGCTGCACGCGCAGCGCAACCTTGGGGGGGCGGGGAGAGGGGGGGGGGGGGGCGGGGGCGAGACCCTGGAGCTGCCGGCGGGCTCCGCGCGACGCTTCCTCTCAGAGCTTCCTCCGCGCTGGGATCTTGAGCTCGAGGGCGTCCAGGGGAGGGCGCAGCGGGCGAAACAAGCACACTAAAAACGGGCGGAGCGGTCGTCTGTTCTCAATGTAGGCCTGGGTCGCGGCCGGTGGCCGGGGCACCTGGCCGCCAGGAGTCCCCGCTCGGAGGCGGCTGGAGATCTCCAGAGCAGCGCACTCCTCGAGAGCGGTCCGCCGAAGGGATCGCCAGAAGAGCCGTCCGGAGACAGCCTGCTAAGTTGACGGCGAGGCCCGCACAGGCGTGCAGCACGTGGAAGCTCGAGGATAGCACGTGACGTGTGGCTATCATCCGGATGCGGGCTCGATGTGCGCGCGGCACAGCGGAGCTCCCCTTTGGCACAGGTGTCGAGCTGTGCAGTGGCGCCGTCACGGCCGACGAGCACGTCACAGCTTTAGAGAGGGCAGTCCAGGGCTCGGGGTGTCTTCGTGCCTTCGCGATGCAGTCATCATGGGCCCACTGCAGAGTGGAGATGTTGAACGCATGCTCTGCGGCGGATCGATCAGTTCGGCAGGGTGTAACCCTCATGAGGGTGGTCAACACTGGAGCCCCAGACACGGATTCCAGGAGCAGTTCGCGCAGTTCGTAGTACCAACTTCACGGGTGCGCGGCACACTGGAGCTACATAAATTGCGTCCTGGGGCGGTTTGCATCTTCCAGAGCGCAACCCATTCGGCCGTGCTAAATATAGGAGCGCCAGATATTTACTGATGGGGCAAGCAAGTGCTTTCGTGGCCCAACCGTCAGGAGTGCGTGGCACACCGGACCTCCACAACGTGTGTTCTGAAATGGCATGTAGTCTTGCTTTTGCATTCCGAATTTGCTGGAATGCCATACACTGTGTCCCAGGGCGGTTGGGTTTGCGACACTAGCCAAGTCCAAGCAATTTGGGCGTGCGTTGCAGCGGAGCTCCCGAAACTGCGCTCTAGGGCACATTATGTTCACCAGGGAGAAACCCTCGTTGGGGAGAGGGGGCGGCACATCGGACCACCAAAAACCTGTTCGCCTTCAACTCGGCAGCAGTAGCCGCAGCAGCAGCAGCAGCAATTGTACTAGCAGCGCTGGCAGCAAGGGTAGCTGCACAAGCAGCAGCAGTTGCAGCAGGTTGCAGCAGCAAGACTTCTAGCAGCAGCAACGGCAGTAACAGCATTGATATTGGATGCAGAAGTAGCAGCGGCCGTAGTAACCGGAGTATGTAACCGTGGCCAGAGTAGCAGCAGTTGTGACTAATGAGAGCAGCATCGGTGGTAGCCGCGGCAACAACAGCAGTAGTAGCAAGGGCGGCACCAGAAGTGCAAGCAGCAGCAGTTGGAGCAGAGTTGGCAAGCAGTGGCAGCAGCACTGGTCGCAGCAGTCAAACAGGGAATCACGGTAGCAATTACTTCGTCGTAGTCGCAGCGACATTTGCAACAGGCGTTGCATGATTTCGTGTAGACCTCTTGCGGGGTGAGGCCGTGTTGGGGGAGCAGCCCCAATCTTCGAGGCTTATCCAGAGGTAGCAGCTTCGCATCATGGCTGGCATCCCAGACTGCCTCGTAATCTCCTCTAGCGAGGTGGAGCCCCTTGGAATGGCTTCCGGCCGCCATTGCCTTAGTCCCCCCCCAGTTTGCCTAGTCCTTGCGTTGCCCCCAGGAGTGGCAGGGCCCTTTGGGGAGGGCTCCCTGCCCCAATACTGGAGACATCTGTCAGAGTATCAGGCTCACGGCGGCCCCCGTCTCAAGATGCCTCGTAGAGGCCTTTAGCGAGGTTGCTTGTCTAGGGTCTAGGCCATCCCCTGCTCATGGGCTCGGGCACCCCCCCCTGGACCGATGGGTCCTTCCCCCCCTGTGGGTGTGGTGTGGTGCTGCGTTGCCCCCACCCCCCACCCACACACCCCACCCACCCACCCGTGGGTGTGGTGCGGTGCTACGGTGCCCCCCCGCCTCTTCCCCCCCTTTGAGTGTGGTGCAGTGCAGAGGTGCAGAGGTTGTCGTCGTTGCCCTTGTCGTCCTTCTCCTCGTCTCGTCGTCGTCGTATTCGACGTTGTCGTCGTTGTCCCCGTCGGCGTCGACGTCGTCGTCGACGTTGTTGTCGTCGCTTCAGCCCATCCACCCCATCTGGGGGGAGCATAGCTGCCCTGGTACGCCCGTTTTGAAACGCGACACGTCCCGTGTTCAAGACGTCCGTGCCAACACGATGCCAGTTGGCCCGACGTGCTGGCCCACGCTCTGGCGAGTGCATCGCGCCAGGCCCACGTGCTCAGCCTGCGCAATCTAAGGGCCGTGTCGACACGCGGCGGGCTGCGTGCTGCGTATCGGAGCAGCCAGGGGGGGGGGGGGAGGAGGGAGGAGGAGGAGGAGGAGGAGGAGGAGGAGGAGGAGGAAGAGGAGGAGAGGGAGGGGGAGGGGGAGGAGGAGGAGGAGGAGAGGAGGAGGAGGAGGAGGAGGAGGAGGAGGTGGAGGAGAGGAGGAGGAGAGGGGTGGGGGGGGCGAGGCGCGGCCCCTCGGCCCGGCACCTCTTGCGGCCAGCAGGCCCCGGCCCGCCCGAACTATTTCGCTTGTCTTGCCACGGGCAGGCTCGGTCCGTCGCAAGAGCAGATGCTCGGCGTCGCTCAGACGTGTGCACTTTTTGTGGTCGGGGAAAACCTCCTCCCTCCTCCTCTCCTCCTCCTCCCTCCTCCTCCTCCTCCTCCTCCTCCTCCTCCCTCCTCCTCCTCTCCTCCTCCTCCTCCTCCTCCTCCTCCTCCTCCTCCCTCCTCCTCTCCTCCTCCTCCTCCTCCTTCCTCCTCCTCCCTCCTCCTCCTCCTCCTCTCCTCCTCCTCCTCCTCCTCCTCCTCCTCCTCCTCCTCCTCCTCCTCCTCCTCCTCCTCCTCCTCCTCCTCCTCCTCCTCCTCCTCCTCCTCCTCCTCCTCCTCCTCCTCAATCCCCTCCCGTCGAAAGAAAAACTCCGTCCAGACAAAAGGCACGGCATCCACGGCGTCCGAGCGACAGCGGGAAGAGGTCCCGGCAACACAGTGCCCGTCACCGCCGACTGCAACGCAGAGCGATCCATCCTAGTAAGGATTTGTCAATGCCCGTTTTTGCTCGGAGGAGGGTACCGTCATCATCGTCTCGAGTCCGACGCTGGTGGTAGGTCCCACGAAGTCGGCGAGCGAGCTAAAGGCATTGTGCCTAACAGACAGAAGATTGGCGAGCGATGGAAGCCCGTAGGCCTAAGATTGACGCCCCGAAGGCGCACTAGTGCGAGTGTTCTCGGCACTTGGTTCCCCCAGACAGTGCGTGCACGCATGGGTTCTTACAGGCAGCCCGGATTAGTAGGTCGACCTTGCCAGATCAAGGGTACCTTTGTGTCCTGTGTCTCGCGACCCATGCTTCGTACATTCTTGTGGCGATGTGGCCCTTGGAAGGGTCTTGTGTCCTCTCGCGTGTCCTCTCCAATCAAGGCCGACTGTACGTGTGTTGGAGAAGGTATTGCGTCTGACCCACGTTGTCAGCATACGTGTTGAACTCCGCATCGATACGCCACGCGTTGCGTGTTGCGCATCGGGGCGGCTAAGAGTCTTACCCGTTCTCTTACACAATGGGCTTGCGGTTCTGAGTTTTCGCTTGTCGCGCGCCCGTGGGCGCATGGGCTGACGCCTCGTGCGACGTGCGTCGGCTCCAAATGTTCGCTCGGTGGTTGCCCGTTGGGCGCCTCGAGGAGGAGGAGGAGGAGGAGGAGGAGAAGGAGGAGGAGGAGGCCCCCCCGAAGGCGCTCGCCGACGAAGCGAGGAGGAGGGGGAGGCGCTTGGCCCCTCCCCCCGCCGCGGCGGCAGCGGCCACGCGGCGGGCCGCCTCCTCGCTCGAGCCGTGGGCGCCTCGAGGATACAGCGTCGCAGAATCTGGGGCCGAAGCGTGGTATCTTCAGCAAGGGGTCGCGAAGTTGAGGCACGGCCACATGTAGCGAACACCACGAGTGAGTTTGAAGGTGTTCGTGAAGGCATGTCCGCGGCTGCTTGTGTGGCAAGCAGTTTTTATCGCAGCTGCGACGGCGCAGAGCGTCCCTGACATTGAAGTAAGATTGTTTGAAAGTCAGCGGTTGCCGCGCTTGCAGATGATCCATCGTGCCGCGCGTCGCTCGCACCTGGCAGTGCACGGTGGGCCTGCGCAGGTCAGCAGCAGCGTGCTGCTGAGCGCAGGTGTGTCCAGTCGGAAGAAGCGAAGATCCGACGGATGTCGTTGGCCATGATGATGGTGGTAGCGTTGTTACAGGCAAAGGCAGCAAGCGCATTGTATTGCACCACAACGCGCACGACAGTAAAGTGATCGAGGAGATCGCTTGGGGACCCCTGTGTGTTTCTTTCTTCTCCCGCGAAGTCATATTCATTCCCACGTGGAGGAGGAGGAGGAGGAGGAGGAGGAGGAGAACGAGGAGACGGATGAGGAAGAAGAGGGAGATTTGTGGTAAGTAGTCCACCTTCCCAGGTTGTTGCATCCCGCCGCCTGCTGCTCCATCTTAGCCTCTTCCCCCGGCCCTATACCAGCGAAGGGAGGCACTCGATCAGGTAGCGCGCGCCGCATGTGCATTATTATATCCGCCGTTCCTCCTGTCTGTAGCCGTTGCCGCGTCATCGTCGTCGTTAGTTGTTTATCGCCAGGTCAGCAAGAAAGCGGGACGAAAACACTTGTCGTGTTTCGTGCGGCGCCTAGGCATGAGTGCGTGCGGCGTCTTCTTCGAAGCCTTTACATGTCCATTCATCTTCCTCCATTCCTGAAGTTTCTTGGGGCAAACAAGCGTGGTTGAAATTGCAAGGCACATTAATTGCGATCGTTGGGAAAAAGACCAGGCTTCACAGCTGAGAGTACATGAGTTTTTCTGCTGGGGCACGTTCTGAACAACAGTACCGTGGAGGGGGGACGCCGTCATCATCACTATGACCATATTCAGACGCACCATCGTCATCGTCATAGGGGGGGGGCGGTCGAGCGAGTGCACCCGTCCGTTCTGAGGTGCATCGGGGCATGGGGCTATCACCGGCAAATCACGATCATGACCAGCACCATCACGATCAACCATCATTTACTAAGCACCGATCGGCATCACCATCACCATAAACATTGACAGTCGCCATCACCAATATTCACTCTTCGATTCCCAATCGCCGTCGTCCTCGTCGTCCTCCCCATCCTCCCCAGACGCTCCAACCTCCTCCTCCTCCTGCTCTCTAGATGTTCTGCCAGTGAACGCTCGAGGAGAATCCTCCTCCTCCTCCTCCACCTCCTCCTCCTCCCTCAGCCGTTCCCTCTCCTCCTGTTCTTCATGCTCCTCCATCTCATTACCAGACGTGCCATTGGGGCTGGTAGGGTGTTTCACCTGAGATTCTACCCCCCCATTCATGACCCCGAAGAGTGAAAGTCCAACGGTTACATGGATTGAGATGGATTGAAATGTTGTGTTTGTTGTAACGCCGCGCGCATTTGCTGCAAAAGCTCCAAACGGTTACATGGATGATGGGGGTGATGTTCAACGTGTGGACCTCGCTTTGGTGCCGCGCACACCCGTCTGAAAGTTTCCAGCATATCGGGTGGGCGGGAGGGCGATGTTTGGTCATCATGCGGTTTTCGCTTAGCGCCGCGCACATTCGTCTTAAGAGCTGCCAGCAGCTAAACGGGTGGAAGGCGGTTCTTCTTCAAAGCGTGGTTCTCGCTTGAGCGCCACGCACAGTCGCCTTGAAGGCTTCCGCCAGTGACACGGATGGAGGTCCTTTCCGAATGTCGATTTCGCCTTTGCGCCACGCATGTTCGCCATCAACAATTTCCGACCGATACGCGGATGTAGGGCGGTTCTTTGTCAAAATCAGATGCTCGCTTTGGTTCCGAGCAAACTCGCCTTCAAAGCTTCCAACGGCCACATGGATGGTTCACAAGACGGTATAAACATGTGGTCCTCGCCTTCGCTCCGCGCACCGTCGGCTTAAAAGCTCCCAAGAGTTACATGGATGGAGGGTGGCTCCTTTGCGAAACATAATGCTCGAGAAAGTTTATTCAGCCTGTATGTTCAGAACTTGTTGTGCAACAGCTACACAGATGCAGGGCGGCTCTTTGTCACATCGTGGTTCTCCTTTGAGATGCCCGTAGGCTTGTATCACCGACTTTTAACGTTGGAGAACAGTCTGCACGGATGAGGGGATATGTTTCAAAGCGGGGATGTCGTTATTTGTTGTGTGGTATTTCGTGGTAATACCTCGTCGTTGTCCTATTTAGAGATGAGCATCAAGAATCCGATCTGACGCCAATCGCAAACAGAAAATTGCACCAACCCGCCCAAATCTCCTTATCACCCGAAGCGTGGTCATATAATGGAGGGACTTGTGAGGGCAAGACCCGGGACGGGCGCGCGTGTTGCAGCACGATTGATGCACATTGAGCTCATTATGGTCCTCCTCCTCCCCCGCATCTCCTCCTCCGGCTCCTCCTCATCCTCCATCCCCTCCTTGTTCCTCCCTCGTCCCCCTTCCTCCTCCTCCTCCCTCCTCCCCCCTCCTCCTCCCTCCTCCTCCTCCTCCGCCTCCTCGTCCTCCTCCTCTCCTCCCTCATCCTGCTCCTCCTCCTCCTCCTCCTCCCTCCTCCCTCATCATCATCATCATCAGCATCATCATCATCATCATCCTCATCCTCATCCCTGTTCCTCACGCCTGTTCCTCCTCCTCCTCCCTCCTCCTCCTCCTCCCTCCTCCTCCCCCCCCCTCCTCCTCCCTGTTCCTCCTCCTCCCCCCTCCTCCTCCTCTCCCCCTCCTCCTCCTCCTCCTCCTCCTCCTCCTCCTCCTCCTCTTCCTCTTCCTCCTCCTCCTCCTCCTCCTCCTCCTCCTCCTCCTCCTCCTCCTTCCTCCTTCCTCCTCCTTCCTCCTCCTCCTCCTCCTCCGCGTCCTCCCTTCTGCCCCCGCCCCGCCGTGCTCTGGACTTGCCCCCCTCCCCACTCGCCGGCGCCGCAGGGCCCATTCCAGAGGCAGACGCGGGCATTGCTGGGAGCAAGAAGGGCGCCTGGGTGCGCGCGCCTCCCAGCCGAGCTCCTTCGAGGGAGGGCCTCCCCCCTCCAGGAGGAGGGAGGGAGGAGGGAGGAGGAGGGAGGAAGAGGAGGAGGAGGAGGCGGAGGAGGAGGAGGAGGAGGAGGAGGAGGAGGAGGAGGGGAGGGAGGAGGGAGGGAGGAGGGAGGAGGAGGGAGGAGGAGGAGGAGGAGGAGGAGGAGGAGGAGGACCATGGTCAAAGCCCAAGACGCATCAACGGTGGCACAAGAAACCCTCCCTCCAACTTCCCTCTTCGTAGGTCCTTGCAGGAGTTCACGTGAACGTGGGAAGTGCCTCATTGGAGACAACCGTTTGAGAATTATCAGTTGCGCCGAAACACCATTCTTAATATTTTGGCGTCGCGGGTCAGCGTGACTGCTGCGTCCTGCTAATCCTAAACCGTGTCAGAACACCATTCTTGGGACATCAACACCGCGAATCATTGCGACGTTTGAGTTTTGACAGTCCGAAACCGCTCCAGAACACCGTTCTTGGAATTTCAACCACGCAAACCTTTGAAACTGGCGCAAGTGTACAAGACGAATGTGCGAGGCGGTAAGGCGAAGGCCACATCTTAAAACGGATCTGCCCCCCGAGAGTCACAATTTGAAAAGGATTTACCGTCCATCCTGGAAGCGGTTGCAAATTTTGAAGGCGAATGTGCGCGGCACCATTGCAAGAGCCACATGTGACAACGACCCGCCCCCAATCCGGCAAATTGATGGGAACCTGTAATACGAATGTGCGCGGCGTTGAGGCGAGAGCCACATTGTGAAAACGGCCCACCATCCGTCCATGAAGTTCTTCGCAAATTCTGCAGGCTTCGCACATCCCCACCAACCCATTCAGAAACGCTGCCGATAAGAGCTGTCGGAAAATGGGCGGAAGAGATCTTGAAGCGATGCCTAGGCGACTTGCTTGATTTAGGGAAGTGTAGAAGTGTGCCGTGGCTGCCCAGAGAGATACGAGCACGAGCAGGAAGACGAGAAGGAGGACGAGGACGAGGAGGAGATGGAACAGGAGGACGAGGACGAGGAGGAGAAGGAACAGGAGGACGAGCACGGGAAATAGGAGGACGAGGGGGACGAGGAGGAGGAAGAGGACAGCGAGGACGAGGAAGAGGACGAAGAGGACAATGAGGAAGAGGAGGACTGAAACGAAGGTAACGAGGAGGAGAAGGAAGAGGAAAAGGAGGAGGAGGACGACGAAGACGAGGCTAAGAACTCTGGCCGTAATCTTGGGATCTGATCGAAGCCTTTTTGGCGTCATCTTGGGGCTGCCTCGGGGCCCTCTTTGGGGGGGTCTTGGGAGCATTCTGGGGCTCTTTAGGGGGGTCGTGGGGCCATCTATGGGAGCCCTGGATGGCCTCTTGAGGCCATCCTGGAGGCCATCGGTGAATGAACGGAGGATCCATAAAGTTCCCCTCCCGCCACCCCCTCCCTTCCTGTGGCCATGACAATCACCTCCTGCGGCCGTCTTGGCCTCTTGGGCCCCTCTTGGACATCTCTTGGGCCATCTTGGGGCCATCTTGAGGCGCCAAAAGCGCATCGGAATTGAAACAGCAATTGGGCGAAAATCATAGATCCGCTTCAGCTTCTTGGGGGGGGGCTGGGGGGTCTCCGAGAGCACTTGGAATCGACTTGTGGCTCTTTTGCGGGGCCTCCTGGAGGCATGTTGGAAGCCATCTTCGGCTATCTTGAGCCATGTTGGAGTATCGGAGGCCCTATTGGAGCCATCTTGGGCGAAAAAGGACTTCCTGACACAGCGAGTCGCCAGCGTGGCCTGGTTGGACTCATTGCTGATCATAAAAAAGGCGCTGAGACGGTGGAACACTAACACGGACTTGCCCGCGTGGCGTAGATCGGAAAAGTGTATCAAGTTGTCCGGCCGTTCTTTTCAAACCAAACTTGAGGATCTGGCCGATTTGGCCTTGGTTAGAGACGAGTTGGATCGACACGGTGCTGGGACGCATGGATATGCTGGCGGGAGAGAGAAAGGGCGATGACTTGCGCAGGGCAGACCGCACGGCCTTCTTCGAGGCTACCCGAGAGTCCAAGGAGCGCTTTGCCCAGTTCGTGACCCTCTGGGAGGCGCAACTACCCGAGGCCGAGGGCAGCGACCTGCGGGTGTCGGAGAAGCTCACGGGGCTCCTCCTGGAGTCGGGCGCAGGCGGGACCCCCCAGGGCATGCAGAACTTGTGCGCCCTGAGCCAGGGGAAGCTGGACTTCTACCACGCCCCGAGGGTTCTGAGACACATGGACGCAGGCTCCGCCAGGCCAGTGCCAGCGCCGCCAGGTTTCAGCCTCCCTCCTCTCTCTTGTCCAGCTCTCGGGTCGATCGGAGGTCGGCGTCGACGGTGGCGATCGAGGCGAGGACTTCCACGACGACCAGGGGTCAGACGACAAGGGGGGCAACGACTCAGACATAGCCGCGCGGCTTCCAGATAGAGAGAGAGAGAGAGAGAAGTCCAGGATCTCTACGAGGGCCAGACGGGGACGTGGGCGATCGACGACATCAAGGGCAGAAGCTCTCCCCAGAGCAGCTGGTGAAGATCACTGGCTGGAAAAAGCGCGGGGGAAGGGCCACTGGAAGAACGAGTGTTCCAACCCAGCCCAGGAGAAGCCACGTGACCAGCAGAAGCTGTCCTCCTACATGTTCGAGGGTTGCTCGTCCGAGGGAGTCGACGCGAGTCTCGGCGCCTGGGAGGAGCTGCGTGGCGATTTCAACACTGGGGTGATCCTGGTCACAGCGAAGGCGACCCAATGGTTGGTGGACCCGGGGGCCGGCAGCGACCTCGCGGGCCTCCAGGCGTTGAACCGAAAGTCCAGGCATTTGCAGAGCAGAATCCCAGGTACGTCGAGGTCCCCATCGACCAGAGGCCGAGGAAGTCCGCTCACAGAATGAGACGAGCGGCGAAGGTCTCGAGCGTGATCTCGTTTCATCTCTCTGGGCGGTGTCCTGGGAATCATTGAGACCACGGTCTCGGTGGACGACGTGCCACGCATCGTGAGCTTCAACTTGTTAGACGACGTGGCTCGCGTGATCGACCTGCCCCCTAATCATTTTATTTCGGACACGATTTGTCAGACGATAGGTCTCGTGAGGCTGGGATCCGACCATCGCACGCGCGGCGGGCATCGTGCGACCTCTTTGACGAAAATGTCCGCATTCCGACCGCAGCTTTTAGACGTTTCTGTCCAAAGACTCGGTTCGCCTAAATGGAGGCCAAGCTCCAGTCATGTCGGAAAGTGATGTTGTCTCGTCGCACATGTTTCTCCTGCCCCTGTTCCTCTGGGTCTGGGATGGGAGCCGAGAGTAGGAGTACCATGGGATCGTGGAATTGTAGGCGTTACGCTCGGGAAGTCAAAGACGCTTCTGAGATCATAGGCAGGTACCCCCTCCCTTCGTTCAGGAGCCTCTGAGTGCCGCGAGATCAGCCAGTCGGCTTAGAGTCAGTCGGGGCCACTGGATCCTCGGGGGCAGCTCAGGCAATGGCTCGAGCCCCAGGAGCACTGAAGGCATGGGTCCTATGTCGCCTCGCAGCGCACATTGGGTTTCAAAGAACGACAGTCTCAGCTCCAGCTGTCCGCGTTCCATGTTCAGGAGATCGGTTTCGGTATCGACCAGACCTCGACATCATGGCGCGGGCTTGCGCAGCCTCAGTCCTCGTGCTCGCAGTGACGGGATTGGCCGGGGGTGGAGGAAGGACTACATCAGCTTCACCAGGGAAGGACGCACCTCCGGCGCAGCCTCGGCGTGCTCGAGAGTTCCGGGGAGACGATGGACGGCCTCCAGCGCCTCATCGCCGTGATGGGGGACACGGTGACCAACGTGGAGCAGGCCACTGAGCTGCCCGTGCAGGTGGCCGTGCAGATTGGCACGGCGGTGGTCACTCCGCGAGTAGCAGCAGCACCAGCAGGAGAGGCGTTCGCTGCCGCCCTGTGGGCCGCCTGGCGCCGCCCAGAGGGCAAGCCGAACGTCGGCGGCTCCGCCCTCCACCTGCGCACCTCTCCTGCCCGATGCTTCCCTCGGCCTTCGAGGATCGGTGAGAAAGGTCTCTGCACCTTGTCTGGAGGCCTCCTGGGTCCTGAGACTTCTGGGCACGTCCCCAGGTCAACATGTACACATGGTTCATTTCTAATTCTGCGGAGGTTCTCTTATTCAATCGCTTCGCTCATTCCGCCGGCCCATACAGTCTCATGTCTGCCGTTTGCCCGAGGGCCTGGTGTCAATGCGGCGCTTTGGGGGTTCTTTTGCCAGGCGTCTCGGGAACCTCTTGGAGGCAGTGTTGAAGCCTCTTGAGGCCCCGTAAGGGCCGTTTGGGTTTCGTTGGGGCTTCTTGCTGGGCTTCTTGGGTGGTTCTTGGGGCGTCTTGGGGGACTTATTGGCGGGATGTTGGTGGCTTCTGAGGTGCTCCTAGGGGCAGAATCCCCCTTTGGGCGCCTCTTGGGCGGTCTTGGTGCTCTCTTGTGCCGTCTTGGGGTTATCTTGGGCCGTCCTGGGCCGATTTTAGCGGATTGTTGGGCTGTCTCGGGGCGCTGTTGGGGGCTATTTGCGTAGTTTGAGGCGCTGTGAAACTCGAAACGCCGTTCATGCGGGAAGTGTACATGTTCCTCTGGGAATGGGACGATTTTTGATTGTAATGGCCGTCTTGGAGGGCCTCTTGAGGCTCTCTTGGGGCTCCTTGGCGGCCTCGACGGCAATTTTGAGGTCATCTTGGGCGATGTGGAACGATTGTTCGGCGACTTGAGGCCGCTTGGATTGTTTCGGGGGCGTTCCGGTGCCGTTTTGGCGCGCTCCTGGAGCGTTCTGGGGGTATGAGCCGAACGTCGCGCTCTGGGCGGCGTGCGGAAGCCATTGTGTGAGAGGGCGCGGTGGTGAGAAGAACAGCTCACCCCATCCGGCTTTCCGGGCTTTCCGGCGTAAGGAGGGCTTCTTCGCGGCACTTGTGAACGCTCCTGGACAGTGCTTTTTGGGCAGGTTCTTGACGCTTGTTGCAAGTCTGTAAGGGCCCCGTTGGGAGTCTACCAAAAGGAGAGCACATTGTAGCATCGCTTGCACTTGCTTGCGTGCTCGGTGGGGCATTTGGGGGGCCTCCTGGGGCCGATTGGGGGACTCTTGGGGGCCTCCTGAGAGCCTCGTGGGGGCCTATTGGGGCCTCTTAGGGGCCTCTTGGGGCCTCGTGGGGGCTTCTTAGGGCCGAGGGCTCGAAATGTTGTTTCGTGTTCCCTCTATGGGGCCCCTGTGGGGGCGTTCTTGGGGCCCTTTTGGACCGTCTTGGAGGCTTCTTGGGCCGTCTTCGAGCCCTCTTGGGCCATCTTGGGGCCCTTTTGGGGGCCTCTTGGGCCCTCTTGGGGCGATCTTGGGGGCCTCTTGGGCCGTCTTGGGGCGTCGGGAAGCCGAAAAGGTGGAAGCTCCAAAATCTGTCAAAAACCTAAGGAAAAGCAATGAATTTTGCCTCCTGGGGCCCTCTTGGGAGTGCTGTTGGAGGCCTCTTGGGGCGTCTGGGGGCTATCTTGGGCGTCTTGGAGCGATCTTGTGGCATGTCGGACCCCTCGTGTACCATCTTGGGGGCCTCTTGGGGGCCTCTTGGCCTTTCTTGGGGCTCTCGGGGACGTCTCGGAGCCCTGTTGGTGCGCTCATGGAGCGCTCTGGTGGAGTCGCCCGGGGATCAGCCGGGACCCGCCCGGGGTACTTTTCGTCCGGGGACCCCCAGGGGCCGCCCCGCGCGCGCGAACTAGAGAATTGTTAACCAGTTACCGGAGATCTTAGCACGCCTCTGGCCCGTTGGGCCGGCGAATTGTTGGGGGGGGCCAAGATCCTCTCGTTACTAATTCTTCTATCCTGGGCCTCTTCCTGGCCACGAGGGGGCCAGGAACAATTTGAAACGAGCACGCACAAATAGAAATGAGCACGATTTGAAATGGGCGACGTGTACCATTTTCTCCCCCTCATCTTGCTGCTGCAGGCGGGACGGCCACCCTGGGCGCAACCGACGCCCGAGCCCCTGGGCGCGGCCGTGGCCGCACGGCGAGAGCCCCCGGGAGCGGGAAGCCGCCCCCCTCCACCGCCGCCGCTGAGCGAACCCCCCCAGCCAGGACGGCGGGACCACCACGCCAACGACCACTGCTCGACGAAGAACAGAACGCCACAAACACTTTTTTGATCTGCGGGGCGAGAGCGAACCTCTTCCGCAAACGCCACAAACACAAACTAAAAAAACTCCACAAACACAAACTTTTGGCATTCCGCGCGGGGCCAGCCTGGCGGCGCCAGCGGCGCCGCCCCTGGCGCACTCCGCGCGCCAGGGAGGGAGGTCCAGCGCAGATCGAAGAAATCCGCGCGGAGCGCCAGAAAGCTTATGTTGATGTGGCTGTTTCTTCTTCTCTCTACCGCGCCGACGACCGCGACCGTTCCGTCACCGCCTGGTCCAGAGGAGAAAGAGGGCCAGACACTCCAGCTTGGGAGGTGGTGTTAACTGGTGCCCTCGGCCCTCGAGGGGCGAGGGGCGAGGTCTGCTGATGTTCTTGGCCCTCGTCGGGCCTCCAGAGACCTCGTCGGGGCCTCTTCAGAGGCTTCCGGAAGAGACTGATGGGGGTCAGGATCCGGGGCGGGAGCAAAAATTGGCCAGGGGGAGGAGGAGGAGGAGGAGGAGGAGGAGGAGGATAAGGATAAGGAGGAGGAGGAGGAGGAGAAACAAAAGGAAGGTGTCAGGCTGGCACAACCACTTGAGTTTGAAGTGACCACTGGAAGAGGAAGGGGAAGAGGAAGAGTCTGGAGAAGGTTCGCCCAATCTTGCCGTTTCCCCCATCTATTGTCAACATATGTTCGAATTTGAACGCATCGAACCATCTGTCACGTCCGCCATCGCTTAGTTACCAGTTCGAATTTTGAATGCGGGGCGAGTGTCGTACACACGTTGAAGCCACATGGGCCGATCGACCTCAGCCTTGCGCATTACTCCTGGCAAGTTAGCGTCTGATGATGGGAACTGGATGCCGCGTTCTGCATGTTCGCGGAGAGGTGCGTGAGAGATCTGATCCCAAAAACAACAATGCAGGCACGTGTCTTGTTTGCGCTTTCCTCGATGGTTGTTGTGTTGTGTGTCGGTAAACCTTTTGATGGGCGTTCTCCTCTCTTCTACATGTTACCTACCCCTGTCGGTCGTGCACGCATGTACGTGTTCATGGCTAGATTTGTTCTGCGTGTAGCGCAGATTCGCGCGTGAAATGTGATATCCCCTGCAAGGTTGCAACGATGTCCGGGCTGGCGATGGTGGTGCGTGACGCGATTCTTCTCTTGAGGCATACGAAGGAGAACACCGTGCTCACAGTAGAGACGCATGGAAAGAGCATTAAGACGAAGCTTAGCAAGGAGAGAAGACCGAGGTCGACACTGAGCCGTTTCCGTTTGCGCAGCTTTTCTTCCACCTCCCCCGTTCTTTCTTCTCTTCTCGTCCGCAGACGCGAGGGTTTCGGAAATCACTTGGGCGAAGATGTGTCGGCCATTCTTGGCATGGTACCCTGCATGGCTCCCTGGAGCAGGCGCAACAGCCAGAGGGTCGCCCTGGGTGGGCGGATGACTGGTCTTATGCCACGGACGGCGAGGCGTTAAGGGAAGAGAGCGGCGGATGCAGCACTCGAGGGGCAGGGCGAATGGGGTTTAATCGGGCCTGTTCCTCTACAGGAGGCACATTCAAAAATAGCCAAAAAGAGCTTCGGGACGATTTTTTCTCTATTCTTTGTTGACGGTTCTTGCTTCTTGTATGACGGTTTGAGACCTGATTTCCACAATCTGCCTGCAGGAGGACATGCCCGACCTAGGGAAGGGGGGCAGAGCAGGACGAGGGTGAGAAGAGGGACGGCAGACCCCGAGATCCGACGCTGCGAGAAAAAAGGAAACATCGGGAATCATCCGGACTGAAGCCCTGGACTCCGCCTTTCTGCCCGATTTCCGGGCCAGATCGATCTGTGATGGCCCCGGGGCCGGGGAGCCAGGTGCTACCGCCCGGCTCGAGGAGCCAGCGCCCAGATCTCAGGGGACAGGGATCGAGGAGGATGCGGGCTCCGCCTGTTGGGTGAGCAGACGAGGCACGGAGGAGCCAGGAAAGCGACGCAGAAGAGCGGGCGCGACTGCGCCGACATTGGCGCGTGAGCTGCCCGCGCAAGGTGGCGGGTCAGCGCCCTCGTCTCCAGTACAGCGTGCCGCCCTGGCGGCCCGCGTAAGTTACGGCGTGAGGTCGCTATGTCATCTCGCGTACAATCCGTTTCTGATCGTCGCTCGGGAGGATGAGCGGCCGCGGCGGCAGCGGCGGCGCCGCCTTCTGGCTCGCAGGTGGCCGCCGCGCTCGCCGGCGCCGCGGGCGTCGTCGTTCTGGGCCCGCGGCCTTAGCCTCGCCCAGCGAAGAGCTTCGGAGTGCAGGCGCTCTGTCGCGTCGCAGTCCCGCTGTCGGCGAAAGAAAAAGGGTGTGGTTACGCCGGGTGTGGTTTGCGCTCGGCGCCGTTGCGGCCTGGGGGGCACGACACTGCCTCATCGGGGCGCGGCGGACTTTGTCGAAGTCCCCGCCCGCCCCCCAAGGTGCCCCCCAGGATGCCGGTTGCAAACCACACCCTTTGCAAGGCACACCCTTCGGAGTCGCCGATGCTGGCATGTGCGTTGTAGCTTTTTCCTTTGTGGCCTTGGCGTTGAATTTTTTCTCCACGGGCGATTTTTCTTTCTTTCGGGACCCGGGACCATCACAGATCGACCAGGCTCAAAAAATGTTGCAGAAAGATGAGGTCCAGAGTTCCGGTCGAGGTTTTCTACCACGCTGCATTTTTGTCGGGGATCCCAAACAGTGTGTTGACCGCACCGCGTGATGAGTCAGTGGAGATTCGGGGTCACCACCCGGATCTGGGACTCGAGCCGCTCTCCGAGGACGTCTCGGGCAACCGGGGCCCGCGAGATTCCAAAACCGTGCGGTGACGGACCGCGCGGTGAGGTCTCGCGGGAGTCGGAGGTCCTACGCAGTGCGTCACCACGCTGTCTTGGGACCCAGATTGTGTTCGTGGCGTCGGATCTCAGGGGTGGGCCGACATTGCTGCAGGCAGCGCGCCCAGTCAGAGCGCGCGCCCCCATCTGGGGTGCCCCTTGTGTCCTTGCCTCTGCGCCCGCCCTCTGCCGTTTGCGTTGGTCGCCCAAGGAGATCCGAACTGCGGCCGTCCTTATACCGCCCGTCCCGAATGCACGTCTTGGCTGTATCGTTGAACCGATCCCCATTCCCCAGCGGGCCATGGTGTCCCAGCCCCACCATCCCACAACCCCCGTCAGGGAGAGTTGCCCCTCGAGCCCCGAGGGGGACAGCCCGAATCTCTCCATCTAGGGGGGGGATATCTCCAGTCTAGTCTGGTCTTCGGCACCAGGCCGTTGTGTTCCAGCCGAGAGCCGCCGAATTGTTGCGACAAGTCTGGCGTTTTTGATATCCAATCCGTTCCATTGCAACTTCGGCTCTGATATCTTGCAGCGCGGAGAGCGCTTAGCACCGAGGCCACAGCCCATCATAGCAGAGTGGCGGGCCGCGCACAAGAGCAAAAACCGTCCACGTCCTGAGTCGGTTACTGCACCTCATTTCTGGGGGAGGGAGGAGGAGGAGGAGGAGGAGGAGGAGGAGGAGGAGGAGGAGGAGGAGGAGGAGGAGGAGGAGGAGGAGGGAGGAGGAGGGGGAGGGGGAGGAGGGGGAGGGAGATCGGCCAGCTGTGCCCAGGCCACGCCGTCTCGACCGCACGGGCAGGCCCCCCGGGGGCGCGACGGGGATCGCGCCCTGCGCGCGCCCTCGCGGCCCACGGCGCGAGCGGCGCCCGCCTCCAGGGCGGCGGAGGCGCGAGGGCGCGAAGGCGGCTGCGCGTCGCGCACCGCCCGGGCGCGGTGCGCGAAGAGTTAGGTGGCCCGGATGCTGCTCGAGCCCAGTTGCCCTGGTACTCGTCGTCGTATTCGACGTTGTCGTCCTGTTCGTCTCGTCGTCGTATGCGACGTTGTCGTCGTTGTCCTCGTCGGCGTCGCCGTCGACGTCGTCGTCGACGTCGTGGTCGTCGCCTTACCCCATCCACCCCATCTGTGAGGGGCATAGCTGCCCTGATACGCCCGTCTTGACACGCAACACATACAGTGTTCAAAACGTACGTATTGACACGTTGCGTGTTGGCTCAGCGTGTCGGCCCACGTTTTGGCGAAAGTGTCGCGCCAGACCTGCGTGTTCGGTCTGCGTGTTTATACGGGCTGCGTGTTGCGCATCGGGGCAGCTGAGTACTTGAGGCGTTCAGGAAAGGTCTTCGCTTTGGAGGATCGAAAGAGTTGCCATCTCTTCCTAGGCGGAAGGCTGCGGAAGCCGGCGGAAGTAAAACGAGGCTGCATCCGCTTGCGGAAGGCTGGCGGAAGCCGGCGGAAGTAAAAGATGCGTTCTTGAGAGATGGCAAGGTTTTTGGGTTCGGGGCTTCTTTAACCCGCAAGTTGTGTCCAAGCGCCAGAGAGGGAAAATAGGCAAGTTCAGACCACGAGCGATCTCACCACCAAAAGGCGAGGCATCAGGGAGACCAAGAAAAGGAATGCCTGCGGGATAATTTACAGCCAGATGAAACGACAGCGAGTGTTCAGCAAAAGTAGCATATGCCCCCCGTGCCCAGCCATTAACCGTTTTGGCGTCATTGATGCATTGAACACTTCATGCACGTCTCAGCACGTTCATGGCGCATGCTTCCTTAGTCTGGCAGGTGCTGTTACTTGAAGATTGTCCCCACCGCGCGCGGTTGCGCGTCAGTGCCACCAGGGTTGCCGCAGAGGCTGTTCGGCACCAGGTGGCGGCACGAGCAGCAGCACCGACGCGAGGATCGGGGCTCCCTCTCGAGCTCTGCCTCCTCCTCCTCCTCCTCCTCCTCCTCCTCCTCCTCCTCCTCCTCCTCCTCCTCCTCCTCCGCCTCGTCCGCCTCGTCCTCCTCGTCCTCCTCCTCGTCCCTCCTCCTCCCTCCTCCTCCCTCCTCCCTCCTCCTCCTCGTCATCATCCAGCGGAGGGAATGAGGGTGGACCTCCAGGGAGGGCTGGCGCTGCTCGGCTTCCCTGACCGGGCTCGCCGCCGAGGGTCTCGGGGTGCTCGCGCCACTTGAGCGCAGAACTCGCGAAACCAGCGAGCGGGTCGACACTTCGAAACTCGTTGCTTGGAAGTCCGTTATACAAGTTGACGAATGCGACCGCCCCTCCAGCGGGTGCCGCCCTCCACCTCATCGTCATGCCCCATAGAGTATGCAACATACCACGCAAGCTGCAGTTGACGCGCCGAAGCATGGAACTACGAATCACGAAAGATAGGATTAGGCCGGCAGAGCAGGAGTCACGGCGGGCCCCCAGCGGGAAGCTTGCACGCAGATCTTGCAATCAGTGGGTGTTCGGGATACTGGCTTGACGAGGGTCGGTCAATCGTTGCAGTATTGCGAAGGCCTTACGGCCGTTGCCGCCGACCCTGAGAGCGACGAAGATGAAAACGAGGGGGGGGCAGGGTGGAGGAGGTGGATGAGAGAGGAGGAGGGGGGAGAAGGATGTGGAGGAGAAGCAAGAGGAGGAGAAGGAGGCAGAGGAGAGCAGGAGGAGGGGGAGCAGAGGGGGGGGGGGAGGAGGAGGAGGAGGAGGAGGAGGAGGAGGAGGAGGAGGAGGAGGAGGAGGAAGAGGAGGTGGCCAGAGGCTTTCTTGGGACAGCCTGTGGCTCTCCTGAGGCCGTCTTGGGCCGTCCAGGGCTCCTCTTGCGCCGTCTCGAGGCACTCTTGGAGGCCTCCTGGGCAATTTGGGGCTCTCCTGGGCTGTCTTGGGGCAGTTTGGGGGCCCCTTGGGAGCCTCTTGGGGCCTCTTGGGGCTTCTTCGGGGCCTCTTGGGGGCCTCTTGGGGCTGAGAGCTCGAAATGTCCGTTCGGGTCCCCCGTCTGGGCACTCTCCTGGAGCCGTCTTGGGGGCCTCTTGGGCCGTCTTGGAGGCGTCTTGGGCCGTCTTGGGGCCCTCTTCGGCCGTTAGGGGACCCTCTTTGGGGCCTCTTGGGCCGTCTCGGGGCGATCTTGGGGGCCTCTTGGCCGTCTTGGCGCGTCGGGAAGCGGAAGAGGCAAGAACGCCAAAATCTTTCAAAAACGTATGGGAAATCCATGAATCTTGCCTCTTGGGGCTCTCGTGAGAAAGCTCCTGGAGGCCTCTTAGGGGCGCTTTGCAGGCCTCTTGGGCCGTCTGGAGGCCGTCAAGGCGTCTTGGACAGGTCGTTCGGCGATTCGGGGTTCTCTTGGACTGTCTTTGGGGCCTCTTGGAGCACTCTTGGCCCGTCTTGGGGCTTTTTGGGGCTCCGGGACTCCCAGGGGAGGCGTCGTATCTGACCCCCCCCCGGCATCTGACCCCCCCCCGGGACCCCACCCCACCCCCGGCAGGGGCTTCCCTTCGACTCAATTACGACGTTGCTTCTTTTCGCTTTAGCTGGCGCGCTGAGGAGGTCTCTGGGAAAGGGGGGAGCTTCGACGAGCCCAGGGAAAAGGGGGAGGCAAGGAAAGAAAACGACAGAGACGACGACCAACGAATGACGGAGATGACGACTTGAACGGACAAGCCCCTCACACACGCCGACAGGGTCGGCGGATTTCTTGGGCGCGTAGGCGAGCCGGGGGAGGCCGCGCTCGGCCACACCCATGCGAGAGAGGGGGAGACCCCAGTGCCACCCCCGGAGCCCCTCGCGATAGACGGGATGCTTTTGGCAGTTTTCCGCCTCCGGGGGGGCCCTCCCCGGACCCCAGGACTGTCGAACAAATTACTCGCGATGGAAGATCACCCTGGGGAAAGGGTCGAGACTTGCCTGGGTTCCGCATTGAAACAATCACAGCGGCGCATGATTGGGAGTATCACCGGGCCCGCGGAGGCGGAGGCGGGGGGTAAGTCGGTTGGGGCTGCCCGCGTGCCGCAGAGCGAGGAGGGATAAGGGAAGACGAGGAGAAGGAGGAGGAGGAGGAGGAGGAGGAGGAGGGAGGATGGAGCGTCGGCATCACGCATGCGTCGGGAGTTGCCAGGGGGTGGTCCTGGCTCCCAAGGCGCCCCAAGCGTTTAGGGCCATTCTGGAGTCCCGGGGGACCTCTGGGCCTCCTGAGGGGCTCTCTGGAGGCCGTCGGGCCCTCCTTGGAAAAGCTGGGACCGCCCTTCGGGCGGGCCCAGGCGATAAAACGCTCCAGAGCGTTCCAGGAAGCCCCCTCGGCGCTCTGGAGCGCTCTGGGACGGCCGCGGCGCCCGATGCATCCTCCAGCACTGCCAGATCTCAGAGCTCCCCGACTTGTCCCGAGCCGATTTTGCAGCGGTCCGTCTTCGCCTTGGGCCAGGGCCACCGCCAGCAGCACCTGAGAGTGACCCTTGTCCAGCCTCGGCCGAGGCCGTCGCCGCCTTCCCGCCACCGCGGGGCTCCTGGACACCGCACCAGAGTACGGGCGCCCCCGACGCCCCCCGCGGCCGCCGCCACGCTGCCGCAGCCGAGCCGGCCGTGTGCCTGCCCGTGGTAGTGGTGGTGCTGCTGCTGCGCCGCGCACGTGCTGCTGCTGCTGCTGCTGCCGCCGCCGCCGCCGCCGCCGCCGCCGCACCGCGGCGGCTGCCGCGCGTGCCGCCGCCGTCCAGCGCGCCCCACCAGAAGAGGGCGTCTGAGCGGACATGGAGCAGACGGGTCCTGAGGGAGGCGGGTCCCGAGGTGTTTCGCCGCGCTCGGGCTCCTGGGGCGCCCTCCCCAGGCCCCCCGGGGCCGTCAGAAAGCTCCTCGGGCTGCAGAGAGCTGATCCTGGGGAAGGCCCTGGGGTCCAGGATTCGGGGGTCCGACACCAATACCGACGGTTGCCTCCACCGAGGGAAGATGATCGCGCCCTTGGCGATGGTGGTATCATTCGGGCTAATGGGGTGGCCGAAGTATTACCACCGCCTTCGCCAAAATCTGGGATCACCCTTGCCCAGCAGAGGCAACCCCTTGTGCCGGTGTCGGTGCCAATGTCCAGGCCTCCAACGCTTCCTTCAGGACCAGTTTTGCTTCGCGCCAGCGGTGTCTAGCGGACGCCCTTTCCTTTCATCCTGCGCACGTCAGAATCTGCTGCGCCCCCCAGCGCAGGCCGGTGGCCCAGGATTCCCGTGGTGGCCCAGGTGGCTTCCAGAGCACCCTTCACCAGCCAGGCCCAGAGGGCCCCCGGGGCTCCAAATGACCCCAAAAGCTGGGGCACACCCGCCGGGCCAGGACCGCTCCGGGCAGCACCCGACGCGGTGTCTTGCGCACGCCCGCGTGGGCGTGGGCGTGGGCGTGGGCCGACCCCCCGCCCTGTGCCAGCCGGGGTAAGCGCGCCTCCTCTGCGCAGGCTCGTGGCGGAGAGGGCCGCGGCCGCCTGCCCCAACAGCGGCACGGCGCCGTGAGGCCCGGGACTTCCACGCCGCGGGCAGCTCGAAAGCGTTTTGCCGCGTTGCCGCGCGCCCTTCGGAGCCTGCGAAGGGCAACGTTAGCCTCGAGGCTGACGTCGACGACGTCGTCGTCACCGTCGCCGCCGTCGCCGTTGTCGTCGTCCGCGGCCGTCGGTTTTCGGCGGTCTTCCAGCCTCGGGGTGCCGTCCTGCAGCTGCGCCCTGCCGAGAGCGCTCTCCAGGTGCCTGGATCGTCCCGAACGTCCCCCCCCCGCCCACCCGAGAGCCAAGTTATGACCTAGAACAAAAAAATGGTACAGGAATAGGCCTGGGGGCGAAGCATCGACCTCCAATCGCCCATTCATCGCCGGCGCCAGTAGAGGCCCGATAGCCCGCCCAGACCATGCGGATTCGCTTTCGGGGGCCTCTCGCCGATTTCTCGGCGATGTATCACCGATTCCAGGTCGATGTGTCTTCCCTGGAGCCAGTCCCCCCGTTGCCCCTCAAAAACCTGCTGCGCCTGGTCCGGGCATTTTTTGTCGTCGCGCTGGCGATCGCACAGCGCGGGTCGGCCGAGGGCGGGGTGCGCGATGACGAGAGGAGGAGAGCGGCCGCAGAGTGAGGGGAGAAGCGGGGGGGACAATTCGGAACAGGGTGAACTGGCACTGCGATGACACTTCTCAAATGCAATGTTGCTGACATTCACTCTGCCATCATCGTTGAATACAGGATGCTTGATGAAACGACGAAGGAGAAGTGGCTCGGTACCAATGCATCTGGACCCATCGCGCAAATAATGGGGGCCTCGCGCAAATAATGGATGAACTGGACTGGCTGCCGGTGCTGCGGCCCAGGCTCGGGGTGGAGTCGTGCAAAGGGGCGGCCAGGGCTGCGCGGTGCTGGCCTGCCAGGGAGCAGGTTGCGGTGAACGGAGCGGTTCTCCAGGATGCTGGCGGTCCAAAGGCAAAATGCTGGGAGCGGAGCTGCGGTGCTGAGCTGTGGCGATTGATTTGTTCGATACGTTGGATATCTGGGGCGCCCGACAGAGACATCCAACGTAGTGACAAAATGAAGGCGGAGGTTTTTCACCAGTTCTGAACTCTGGGGCCCCTCGCCGGGCCCGAGGACCGTCAGCAAAACAGCCAGGACGAAGGTCTGGCCCCGGGGGAAGGGTCCGGGCTTCTGGGGGCCCCGTCCTGAGAAAACCAAGACGTCGGATATCTCTGGGGATAAGTGCCCAGACCCCCAGCATCTTAGAATTGTCAGAGCGGCCAGCTGCAGTATTGATTCGTTTGAGACATCCAGGGGCCCGCTTCTGGCCACAGGGCACACCGATGACGACCCCAGGCGTCGAAAGCCGTGCGAAAGTCACATGGTTGAGGGCTCAGGAGGCCAGCGGATTGGAAGAATCACTCACATGCGTTCTTTCGCCCTCAATCCCCGAGCTGCCCCCGTAAAAACAGGTCGCTCAGAAACGAGGGTAGCGCCTGGGATACACCTTCAGGGGGCTGTTCGGACGCCCCCACATCGTATATTCCAGAGTTGGGCCCAAAATGTTTGGTCCATTCGACAACCTTCCAAAGTCGGGGATTGGGGTCGCCATACCCGTTGTTAATCACGGCGTCTGAGGTCCAGGGATGGAGGACGCCTCCTGAAGCACCCCTGTGGGGGGGAGGGGGTCAGCGTCACGGCGGCTAGTTCTGAGAGGGTTGTCTTCGTCGTCGTGCTCGTCATCGTCGTCGCGTGAACGTCGTCGTCTTCGAGGGATCGGGAGGCGGATCGCCACTCGAGGATACAGTGGCGGTGAGACCTCTGGACTCTCTGTTTAAGCGTAAGAGGGGGTGGAGGGGGCAACTCTTTCTTTGCGGCCATTCGCTCCCGCTTTGCATTCCGCCTCATCTCGCCGCACGCAGGAATTGGGCCCTTGCCACGGCTCGAGAATTCAAGCACCTTCCTTTATTGAAGACGCCTCTGGCGAACCACCGCCGCCCCCTGCCTTCTGGAAACGCATGCGTGGTGGAGTGGCCTATTGGTCCGTCTTTGGGTGGCCTGGGGTCGTCTTTGAGCCATCTTGGGTCGTCTTGGAAGCATATGTTGGCGGACTACGAGGCCCCTCGGCACCCTCCAGGGCCATCCTGGAGGCCACCTGCGCCTGTCTGAAGCCGTCGTGGACGATCTTGAAGGCCATCTTGGGCGTCTGCGGGCCAGCTTTGTGCACTTGTTTGCGCCCCGGCGGGTCGGGCCGAAGGCCATTGGGAACTTTTGGAAGGGCCAGAAACACACGTGCGCGGATAAATAGATACATACATAATGTATAGGTCTATATACATACATACATGCATGCATGCATACATACATATAGCCATACAAACATACATGCATACGTACATACGGTCATCCATACATATGTACATGCATGCGCACATACGTACATACAGACAGCCAGACATACAGACATACGTACATACTACATGTGTACATGCGTACATACATACAGAGATACACATACATGTGTACATACGTACATCCGTACATACATACCACATACGCATACACTCCCCAGACATTGCTTGCACTGAGGTTTCTTATTTCCGTTCTGAGGAACTGGGCCGTGTCTTCGGTCTGGCGGGTGTGTGGCCTCCGTCGCCGCCTCGTCGCCGCCCGTCGTTTGGGCCGCGTCTTCGGTCTGGCGGTTATGTGGCCTCCATCGCCGCCCCGTCGCCGCTTCGTCGCCGTCCGTCGCCGCCGTTGGATTGCACCATGCACCACATGCATTGCACGACAAAGAAATCGCGCCTGCGGCGCACTTTTTGATCACTCACAACATAGACTGCACCACACATACGTTGCACTACATAGGTTGCACCACCACATTTCTTGCACCACCTTGATTGCACCACCTATATTGCGACACATCTATCGCACAGCATAGGTTGCATCACTTTTTGTTATTCCACATAGGTTGCACCACAGATTTGTGTGTATATCTATCTGTATATATATATATATATATATATTGTAATGGCCTCCAGCCAGTGCCGCCGATCCGGGGGGCTCCTGCTTCGGTGATCTTCGCGGCTCTGTGGCCTCCTCCCTCTTCGACATGCGCAAACCATGACGAAAACGCCAGATGGGGGACCGCCCCTCCCCCCGCCCTTCCCTGGGGAGGGTCCGGGGAGGGCTCCGAGGGGAGAGTCGTGGGGGCGGTAGCGGCTAGATCTGAGGGTGGGTCCCTAGGACCCCCCGAAACATCTTGGGGATGCGCAAATCATTGAGAACCCCCCCCCCCCCCTCCCCCCCTTCCCCGGCAGAGTTCCGCCAGTTGCCGCGAGCTGCGCGCGCTGCATGCACAATTTCGCGCGTACATTCATACATACATGCATACATACATCCACACGTACATGCATACATGCGCACATGCACACATTCATGCATACATGTGTGCATGCATGTGTATGTATGTGTATATATACATATATATATATATATATATATCCACAGTCCTGCGCTTTCTCCCTCCCTCCTCTCCTCCCCCCCTCCTCTTGGCTCCATTTTCCGCGCTCTCGCCTCCCTCTCCCCCCCCTCCCGCGGCCGCGGTGGCCTCGAGGCCGCAGGGGCCGACGTCGTCGGTCCTGCGCGCCGCGCGGCCCTGCGCGCGCGGGGCGGGCAGGGTCGGAACCGGCGACAGCCCGTCGATATAGTCGCGCCACGCGCGCGTGGAGCTCCCTGGTGAGCACGACGCGCGCGAAGGGTGTGCCAAATGTGAAGTCAAGTTCTAGAATAGGCAAAATGCTAAGTTCAAAATTTGGCTGTCTTATCGTATGGCCGCGGCCTATTTTAGCAATCCTAGGGCCTCTGGGGGGCGAGGGCACGGGCCGGGGGGGGGGGGGCTGGAGCCACGGGGCCGAGGGCGCCGGAGCCGGACCCCGAACCTCGGAAAACGAAGCACGCCCTCCCTGGGCGGCCGAGGCCTCGCGGCGGGGCTGGGGCCTCGAGCCGGGGCTGGCCCAGGAAGCGGGGCAGGCCCCCACCCCTTGAGAGCTACGGCGCGCGGCGCGCGCGCCTTGGAGCCCGCATCGAAAGGCTCGAAAGGCCCCCACCCCCCTGCCGGAGCCGGACCCCGAGCCCCAGAGAACGGAGCACCCAAGCAGAGCGGAGCTCAAGCGAAGCGCGAAGCTGGCTCGATCCCACGCTCTTGCATCTCACACGCCAGATCGTCGGAGATGTGTAAATAACCGTACGGGCATACAGACATACAGGCATACAGGCATACAGACAGACAGGCATACAGACATACGGACATGCAGACATACAGACATACAGACATGCGGACATACAGACATACAGGCATACAGGCATACAGACATACATATATATATATATATATATATATATATATACATACATACATACATACATACATACATACATACATACATACATACAATACAATGCAACACAATACAATACAATACAATACAATACAATACAATACAATACAATACAATACCAAACAATACAATACAATACAATACAATACATACATACATACATACATACATACATACATACATGCATACATATATACATACATACATACATGCATACATACATGCATGCATACATACATACATACATACATACAACTATGCATACATGCATGCATACATACATACATGCATACATACATACATACATACATGCATGCATGCATGCATGCATACATACATACATATATATATATATATATACACATACATGCATACATACATACATACATGCATAAACACATACACACATACATACATACACGCATACATACACACATACAGACAGACAGGCAGACAGACAGACAGACTTACCCGTCGTTGTTTGGCACGCCGGCACCCCTCTGGCAGGCTATTGGGTTGGCAGTTCTGCTGGCCTTCGGCCCATCCCACCATCGCGCTTCGCTTGTAAGCGCCAAGCGCAGCGGGAACATGGTCGGCAACACCGCAGTTTCGCAGTATACGAGCCTCTTGACGAGTGATATTGGGGCCTCTTGGGATCTGTTTTGGGCCTCTCGGGGGCCTCTTTTGGGGCCTCTTTGGGGGTCTTCGGTCAAGCTTGGTAGGGAGGCTTCCAACGGTCTGGTTGTGGGGCGGTTTGGGGGGCCCTTTCACGGGCCTCGTGCGCCCCTCTTGGGAGGCCTCCGTGTGATCGTTGAGGCCCTCTTGGGCAGTCTTGGACGTCCACAAAGCCGACCAACCAGTGATGCTAAAATCACACCGACGCCTTTTCGACCAAAACACAAACGACACCACCCCACCGACGGCCCCCCATGTTGCGCTAAGGCCCATCGGCGCCGTAGCGTACACCACGGAAAAGCCCGAGCCGGAATTCATGGCACATGCTAAGGCCAGTGGGGCCGTAGGTGGGGTGGTGTCGTTTGCTTTCTGATCCACTTCATGCATGGTTCTACGAGGTTGGCCTCTTGGGTTGGACCCGAGGGCCTCCAAGCCGGCCCACGAGACACCTATGAGCCGGACGGGGCTAGGACGAGGACAAATCCGTTCCAGAGCGTTCCGGAACGCTCTCAGAGCGTTCCAGAACGCTCTGAGAAGGCCGCGGCGCCCGAGACATCCTTCAGAACCGCCGAATATCAGAGATTCTCGATTTAGCCTCACCCGAATTTATCCTCGCCCTGGCTTCGTCTTATTGATGGGACGATCTCAGGGCATGTCGCAAGTTTGGGTTCCAAGGATCTGCCCCCAGGCCTCGGAGGGAGCCACGCGACAAGCCCCGGAGGCCATCTGGAGCGCTCAGGACAGCAGCCTTGAAACCAAGGGTACGGGTCATTAGAGCGGAAACCCGTGCCAAGAAACACCCTGCTTGCTTCAAGGGTGCCCTGGGTTGCTTGGGTTTCGATGATTCTGCTATGGAATGCGCGGACGCACTGGGGTCTCAGGGTTGGGTTTCTTGTGGAAGGTTTCTTGTGGTCGAGCTCCTGCTGTACCCAGTGCCCACGGCACAGCGGATAGACATGGTAGGCACCAATTCCACCGATGTGGCAGACTGCATGGACCGAGGATGCGCCTAGCGGTAAAAAGATCCCCGCTGGTGTTCGAGGAGAGTCGAGTAAATTGAGCATTCCAGGAGCGCATCTGTTAAGAGAGATCGGTTCTCATGGATCGTCGAACATGCCATGCAGCAGAATGGGGGCTCGCCCAGCTGGTGGTAAAGCGCATAGAGGGATGATAGAATGCACCTTGCAGTTGGAGCACGCACGATCTGGATACTTCGATGGCGGTCGTCTGCCCCAGACCGTCTCTGACGTCGCCTCCCAGCTCTCACGCAGAAGCCCAGGGATTCTGAAAGCGTCAGGATCATTCGCAGAGTTCCCGTGGTCCAGGTTGGCCCTCGTGGGTGCGAAGTCTTACCTCCACTCCCAGGGGATTCAGGGCAACAGCAGCTCTCCAATTGTGTCTTCGGCGAAAAACGGGTGCTGGCGTAGGTTGCATGGTTTCATCATGTTCCAAATATGGTCAGAAGTATCTCGAAGTTCCGCTTCCCAACTCCACACAACGGAGTTCGAACGAGTCCGTGGCAACGCTTGATCGAGTGTGTAGTGGTCGACACCTCAAGGCCTGGTCTGTACCTTACTCAATCAGCCAGGCTACAGCACAGCAGTTGGTAGAGCAGCGCCCTGAGGTCGCAATCTCGCACGCAGACCCACCGGCTGGCGACGCCAGAACCAATGAGGGAGGAGGAGGAGATGAAGGAGGAGGAGGAGGAGAAGGAAGAGGAGGAAGAGGAGGAGGAGGAGGAGCAAGGAGGGAGGAGGGAGGAGGAGGACGAGGAGGACGAGGAGAAGGAGGGAGGGGGGAGGAGGTGGAGGTGGACGAGGACGAGGACGAGTACGAGGACTGGGAAGAGGAGGAAAGAGGAGGAGGAGGCGGAGGAGGAGGAGGAGGAGGAGGACGACGAGCACGAGGACGAGGACGAGGAAGAGGACGAGGACGACGAGAAGTAGCAAGGCGGTCTCGGCGCCGCCGCCGCCGGCTCCACCCTGGCGCGCGCCCGCCTTTTGGGCCGCGCGGGTGGGCGGGCACGGGCCGCGCGGACCGCCGCACGGCGCTGGCGCGCCGTCGGAGGAGTCGCGGCCTCCCTCTGCGCGCCAGGGGCCGGCGAGGCATCGAGGGGTTTCCCCACCTCCTGATCTTCCCTCTCCTCCCCGTCCGCCTCCTGCTCCTGCTCCTCTCGCAGCAGCAGGAGCGGGAGCAGGAGGGGAAGCAGGGTGATGATGATGATGATGATGATGATGATGATGATGATGATGATGATGATGGTGGTGATGATGATGATGATGATGATGGTGATGGTGATGGTGATGGTGATGGTGATGGTGATGGTGATGATGATGATGATGATGATGGTGGTGGGGGTGATGATGATGATGGTGATGATGATGGTGATGATGATGGTGATGGTGATGGTGATGATGCTGGTGATGGCGCTGATGATGATGATGCTGGTGGTGAGATGTTGATGATGAATATGAGGATGATGATGATGATTGTGGTGATGATAACCATGCTGGTGATGATGGTGGTGATGCTGATTATGATGCTGACGATGATGATGCTGATGGTTATGTTGATGATGATGATGATGATGGTGATGGTGATGGTGATGGTGATGGTGATGGTGATGGTGATGGTGATGGTGGTGTTGATGGTGAGGATGAGGATGGGGATGAGGATGAGGAAGAGGATGGTGATGATGATGATGCTGCTGATGATGCTGATGCTGATGATGATGCTGCTGCTGACTATGATGATGATGATGATGATGATGATGATGATGATGATGATGATGATGATGATGATGCTGACGCTGACAATGCTAATGAGACTAATGGAGGATAATCGTGTTGATGATGATGCTGATGATGCTGCTGATGACGATGATGACGATGATGACGATGATGATGATGATGATGATGATGAGGAGGAGGAGGAGGAGGAGGAGGAGGAGGATGGTGATGATGATGGTGATGGTGGTGGTGGTGGTGCTGAGGAGGAGGAGGAGGAGGAGGAGGAGGAGGAGGAGGAGGAGGAGGAGGAGGGCGTCGCTGAGCGCCCCCGCGCCTCCTGCTGGCGCAGCCGCCGCAGCCGCGGCGGCCGAGGAGTCCTCAGAGCTCTTCCAGTTGCGCTGGGACGGCTCGATCTTCTCGACGGACGTCCTGGAGGAGCTCAATGAGCAGGAACGCGGCAGCTTCGCCAGCCCCCGCAAGGAGCTCCTGGCGGCGAAAGACCTCCTGCAGTCCCATTCGGGAAAGGTCCGCGAGAAGCTCGCCGCTGCGCGGCGTCTCGCCGCCACCAGCCGCCAGCGCTTGGCCAAGAAGCGCAAGGGCGGCGACGGCGACGCCAAAGACCCCGCGCAGGCGGCGGCAGAACCAGCAGCAACACCCGCCGCAGCAGCGGCGGATGCGCCAACAGCAGCAGCTGCAGCAGCTCCTGTCGACGCCGCCGCCGCAAAGGCTGTTCGTGTTGCCCCAGCAGCCCCAGCCGAGAAGGCAGATGACCCCCCGCTGGCTGCTGCTGCCGCCAAGCTGAGCCAGGCCAAGTTCAAGGCGGCCGAGCAGGCGACCGCAGCTACGGCAGCTCGCGGTGCCTCAGGCTCGGCTGGCCCAGGCGCGGCGCCGCCCGACGCCGAGGACCGCGACCTGTGACGCCGGGCGTCGCCAGCGACTAGTGGGTTAGCCGCTGGCGCGGCTGGCAGCGGCTCGCAGCCGCACAGCTTTGACACCTCTTGCAATGATGATGGTTTCCCTGGTGCTGTGGGGTCAGCCACCGCCGCAGTCGCAGCCGACTGCCCGCGCGGGGCGACGGCACCAGGACGCGAGTTCATCATCGACGGGGCGCCCATGGCTCGCGACGAGCCACCTCGCCATAGTCGCACCTTCTTCTTCTCGAACATCGCTGCGATGGGGCCGCAGGCTTGGGAGCTCGTGGAGAAGGAGCGCGCCGACTACGATATTCTGGGCGTCGCGGAGACCGCACCTCGTCCAAGTTGGAAGAGCGGAGCCGCAAGGCGAGGCACGCTGGTTGGCGAGTCCACGCCAACCCAGATCGCGCTTCGAGCGGCGGCGGCACTGAGGGCGGCGAGTGGCTGTTCGCCCGTCGGCACCTCCACGCGCACCTCTCGGAGGCCACCACACCTGCGCCCAGGCAGCTGCGCGCGCCCGCCTCGTCCGACCTGGGCGGCTTCCAGGCCGGCGTGCTGCACGTGCAGGGGTGCGCCGTGGTGGCCATCGTCTTCCACGCCTTCTCGCCCCTCGGCTGGGCGGGAGACAACTTGCGCAGGTGCGCTCGCCTCGGCGCGCTGCTTGTGGCCCTTCAGCTGCCCTGGCTGGTGCTCGGCGACTTCAACATGGGGCCGTCGGTCTTGCAGCAACGAGGTTTCGTGGAGCGCGTCGGCGGACGCGTGCTACAGAGCAATGCGACCTTCACCTGTGCTGCTGACGCCACGGGATCACACATCGACTACGGCCTGTGCTCGACATCCTGCCAACCGTACATCGCGGGGTTCCGCGACGCGCAGGCCGCCCCCGGGAAGACCCACTATTGCCTCGCGGCGGAGCTCCTCGGCAGCGGCCAGCAGTTGATGACGCGCCGCCCGGTGGCGCCGCGGCCGCTACCCGCGGGCGCCCGCCCCCGCCCGCCGCCGACGGCCTCAGCCAAGCGGCGCGAGGCGCGCACTCGCAGACACGCCACTCTCAAGCGCGACGATTTCTCGAAGGAGGCCTTCGGCAACCAGTCGGAGGCACCCAAGGCTGATGCGTCCACCGTTGACACGGATGGCGAAGGGTTCTCCTCCAGCGACGGCGACGATTCGTGGGCTGACGAAGTTGAGAGCCCGCTGTTGCCGCCGCCACAGGATGACGCGCCCCCCGCGAGGGAGAGAGGCGCACCCTCTGGCAGGCCGCCCCAGCCCAGCACCCGCAGCCTCAGCACCTTCGCCGAGTCGCCGCTGTTGGCCGCCGCCCATGACGCCGCCCCTGCTGCTGGCGACGGCGAAACTGGCGGACCTCAGGCCCGAGCAGCCCCCAGGTGCCACACCATGGACGACGACGCTGACCCGTTCGATTGCTTGGACGAGAACGAGGGCCAGGGTTCCCCATCGTTCGAGGAGGTCGAGGAGCCCCCCGAGACCGAGTCGCACCAGGAGAGTGTTTCCGACCGCGGGCAAGTTGATGTTGACCGAGTGGTGGTCGAGGAGGCTGGCGGAAATCCGTCTCGGATCCACCTTGTCCCTGGGGGGAGGCAACCACAGGTTCTGGCACCCCACCCCGTCACATCTCTTTCGCCAGTTTGCGACGATGGCCCAGACGATGATGGAGACGCTAATTCCTGGATGTCCGATCATACGTGGAAGCGGGCGGCCGACGCCAGAGCTCCAACTGCTACACCGTGGGCAGTGATTGGCGAGTCGGCCGCCTACCGCGTCGGCGCCAATGTCATCGGGCCCCTCACCGACGCCCACGCCAGATGGGTTCGCCAGGTCGTGGCAGTTGCACGTCACCACGCACGGTGGCCCCAGCAAGGTCGAGGCCTTTCTCGAGGAGATGGGGCCCACCTAGTCGGGTGCCAGGTTTCAGCGGCCCCGCACGCCATCCACGCGGAGGTCACCGACACCGACAACGCAGTTGGCTGGCGGGCGGCGCTGCACATTGCCCTCGAGAAATTCGCGCACCATTCGAAGGGGATCGTCGGCGACGCCCCCGCTGCTCGAGCTGCGGCTGCTGAACGTCGCCGCGCCGCCGCTGAGTGACGCCGCGTGGTACAGGACATCCCACGTACGGAATTTCGACTGATCGAGGCGCTCGGCAGCAGCAGGATGTGTGTACCATCGGTTGGTGTCTCCTCGGGTGCCTGCTTCCTGGGCGACTGAAAGTCCGGTGGCACCCCCCCTCGGGATGTTAGAGTCATGTGGGGCTACAGAGGGCACAATATGTCCTCCTAGCTGTCATGTTGTTTCTATTGTGCTACGTCCCCTTCCTCCTTCCTCCTCCCCCTCCTCCTCCTCCTCCTTCTCCTCCTCCTCCTCCTCCTCCTCCTCCTCATCGTCATCATCATCAACAGAATCCTTCTCCTGCGCATGGTCATCATCATCATCATCAGCAGCAGCATCATAATCAGAGTCATAATCATCATCAGCATTATCATAATCAGCATCACCATCGTCATCAGCATCATCATCCGCATCGGCATCATCATAAACAGAATGAGTATCATCGGAATCATGATCACCAGCATCATTATCATTGTCATCGTCCTCCTTCAATTTCTTATCGTCATCAGAAACATCATCATCGTCCTCATCATCAATGTCAGTATCATCCTCAGCAGCATCAGCATCGTCATCAGCATCATCGTTATCATCATCATAACTATCAGCATCAGCAAAATCATAATCAGCATCAGCATCATCAATATCATCATCAGCATCATCATTACCTGGCCGCCACGTTTGTACCTTCTGCTTGATGACATCTGGTTGGTGTTCCGCCGTTGGTGCCCCAGCTGCTGCTGGCCGCCGGGCGGAAATCCGTTCCCTGCCTTCCCAGCTGACGGAGTCGCAAATGTCCTTCTCCTTCATGCGCTGTGGATTGCGCATTCCTGGTCACCCCGCCTCACCCGCTTACGGCTGAAGTTTCCTATGTGGTTCCCATGCCGTGTCTCTCCCATCTTCTGGCAATGCGATATCCGGCAATCGGGGTTGATGTTTTGATGTTCTTGCCCCGAAGCACTGCTTGCATTGAGGGATTGAATTGGATGGGTCCGGCGAGGATTTTCCACGTTGCCGCCCGTGGTTGCCTCGTGGCCGCCTTGTGCGGTGGGTGGCTCTTGCGAGGTTTCGCCACGCTGCCGTCCGAGACCGCCTCGTGGCCGCCTCGTGCGCTGGGAAGTGTCCGGGGGAGCGACACCCCCCCTGGGACCCTAATTGGAGCTCCCTATGGGCTACGAGACGTGCGAGGGGTGTGCCGAAACGGGCATGACTCCCACATCCAGACGGTGCCTCTGGGGCCTTCGGTGGAGTTCCCTATGGGGCCACGAAGCGCGTGATGGGTGTGCCGAAATGGACCCACGGAGGGGAAAGGCGGGGATGGGAAGAGGGGCGGCGGGAGGAAGGAAGGAAGGAAAGAAGGAGCCAAGGAAGGAAGGAGTGGACGCGGGGCGCTGTCTTTTCAAAACGAGGACCTAACACCACAGGATGGTTGGGAACAAACAAACAAATTATTCACTGCGTGGAGCTCCCCATATGTGCATCTACTCGCATGGACCTGTCCGCCGTGAATGTCTAGGCGCAAGAGCTTTCGAATATTAACGGGCTTCAGTTGTGACGGTCTGGACATCAATCTAACTGCGAATGAATTGGAGTGTGAATGAGCCTCAGTAGTACGAGCGCGTCTCTGTGCATGAGCCTGGGGCCTCCTGGGGCCTCCTGAAACCTACTGGGGCTTCCTGGGGTCTCCAGGAGCCTCTTGGGACCTCCTGGGACCTCCTAGGAAGGTTTCGTGCCCCAGGAGAGGCGCAATCTATAGCAACAGACGTACATAAAACATTGCGGATTAGAGCCACAGGAGAAGGGCAATCTATAGGAACACGCGTAAAACACCAAGGACTCGTGCCCCAGGAGAGGCCCAATACATAGGAACATGAGTAAAACATTTAGGATTGTGTACACAGGAGAAGGACCATCTATAGAAACATACGTAGAACATCAAAGAATCGTGCTCCAGGTGAGGCCCAATCGATAGGAGCATACGTAAAACACATGGGATTGGAGCCACTCCTGTTGCCTTCTGAGGCCTCCTGCTCCTGGGGCCTCTCGGGGCCTCCTGTTGCCTTCCGAGGCCTCCTGGCGCTTCCTGTTGCCTCCTGGGGCCTCCTGTGGTTTCCTGAGGCCTTCTGGAGCTTCCTGGGGCCTCCTGGAGCCTCTTGGGACATCCTGTGGCCTCTTGAGTCTTTCTGTGGCCTCCTGATGCCTCCTGGGACCTCATGTGGTCTCCTGGGGCCTCCTGGAGCCTGTTGGAGCCTCCTGTGGCATCCTGAGAAGAATCTGCGCCCACGAGCCTGGCCACCAAAACAAGCAAACCGATCGAGACATCCTCAAAATCTGGCCCACCTGGGGGGTGAAAATGAGCGCCTCGCTCGAGACATCCTCCAAATCTGCTCTCCAAGCGAAGGATGTTGGGCCCGGAAACAAGCAAACCGCCTGAGACATCCCCACAAAATGGCCGCGAACGAGCCCGTGCAAACACCCCTGGCGGCTCCCCTTAGGGCCACGAGCCTGGCCACCAAAACAAGCAAACCGATCGAGACATCCTCAAAATCTGGCCCACCTGGGGGGTGAAAATGAGCGCCTCGCTCGAGACATCCTCCAAATCTGCTCCGAAAGCGAAGGATGTTGGGCCCAGAAACAAGCAAACCGCCTGAGACATCCCCACAAAATGGCCGCGAACGAGCCCGTGCAACCACCCCTGGCGGCTCCCCTTAGGGGTGCTGAAACCAGCGCCTCGCTCGAGACATCCTCCAAATCTGCTCCGAAAGCGAAGGATGTTGGGCCCAGAAACAAGCAAACCGCCTGAGACATCCCCACAAAATGGCCGCGAACGAGCCCGTGCAAACACCCCTGGCGGCTCCCCTTAGGGGTGCTGAAACCAGCGCCCCGCCTGAGACATCCTCACAATCTGCTCTCCAAGCGAAGGATGTTGAGCCCAGAAACAAGCAAACTGGGTGTGAGTAAGTCTGTGTATGAGTAAGTCAGTGTATGAGTATGTCTGAGTGTGAGTAAGTCTGAGTATGAGTAGGTCTGAGTATGAGTAAGTCTGAGTATGAGTAAGTCTGTGTATGAGTAAGTCTGAGTATGAGCAAGTCTCAGTATGAGTAAGTCCGACCGGAGGGGAGGAGGAAAGAGGAGGAGGGAGAAGGAGTAGGAGGCGTCCAAGTAATAACAAGAACCCCATCTTAGGATATGGGGAACAAACAAACAAACAAACAAGCAAAACAAAACAAACCAAACAAGCAACATATTTTCCGCTCGCGCGGCGCGGCGTCCTGAAGGATGTCGTTGCACGAGCTGCTGCGCGGCGTCCAGGCCCCCGGCAAGGCGGAGAACGCCGCCGACGCCGACGGCGCCGCGGAGGCCGGCAGCGCCGCCGGAGGACGGAATCATCGAGAATCCAGCCGGAGGAGGAGGACAGTGACGACGACGACGATGACGGCGAGGACGAGGACGAGGACGATGACGACGATGACGACGACGACGACGACGACGACGACGACGACGACCACACTGACGACGACGCCGACGATGATGGGATTGTTGTTAGTACTCTGGCGCCTCTAGACCTTCCTCCTCCTTCTCCTGTTTCTCCTCTACCTCTTCTTCACTGTCAGATCACTCAGAATCTCATACTCAGATCACTCACTCACACCAATCACGGGGTCCATCACAGACCCGCTCTTCTTCATTGGGCCCATCACAGATTCACTGTCCCTCCGGCAGAGTCAGCCACATCACAATTCATTCAGACTCATTCAGACTCAGACCCACTCAGACCCAAAAAGGGTATTGGCCTTAGACGCGGACTCACTCATGCACATCAAGATTCGTGTGCCCCTCACACACCTACTCACTCACTTCATCATTCACCCACTCACTCATTCACTCATCTCCTCCTCCTCCTCCTCCTCCTTCTCCTCCTCCTCCCCCTCGTCCTTCCTCCTCTTTTCCCCCACTTAGACGCACCCGTACACTTTCAGACTTATTCATCCGATTTTCTTATTCCTTCAGACTCGCTCATCACAGTCAGATTCACCCATATTCAGACTCACTAATACTCATATTCGCTCACACTAAGACTCATTCATACTCATACTCACACAAACTCAGACTCACTAGCACCCAGACGACCTCACACTCACGCTCAGTCAGGTTCAGACCCGCCCACCCTCATACTCGGGCTACCACGTACTCAGGCTTGTTCATCATCATATTCGTATTCACCACACTCAGACTCAGACTCACTCGCGGTCAGATTCAATCATACCCAGATTCGTTCGCAAGACGACTCGCTCACACTCAGATCGTTCACGCTCAGATTCGCAAGGCTCACACGCAGGTGGCTACTGCGATACAGCCGGCGTGGCATTTGAACCCAAATGTCAGCAGGTGACGCGACTAGCACGCCAGAGAGCGGTCGTAGCAACGCCATGCGCGTTTGCCGGAGTGTCCGCACTGAGAACGGCAAGAGTCATCCCCCCTCGCTCTTCCACTTGCGTTTCCCTCGTCTCTCTTGAAAGATGCCCAGGGGAGGAAAACGACACAAAGGTCGTCGTCGTTGTCGCACCTCTCGCCTACGCGGACTCGCTCTCACAGCCAGATGCTCACAAGCAGAGTCCCTCAGCGAGACGTGACAGGAGTTATGAGATGCATATATGCGGAAACCCGCGTCGAGTAGTCGAGGCTTCTCTGGGCCTCCTCTGGCGCCCTCGTCGCTACGACTGGATCCGTCCCGAAGTTGTGGCCAAAGCGCACCCCAGGAGAGGTCCGGGAGTCGATTTGAAAGGGGGCGGGGCCCGCCAGGGCTCCCTCGTCCTTCTCCCATTGCTCCTCGTCCTCTCTGTCCACCGCCTCTTTTCTTTGCCAGGCCATGGTGGGCGGCTCGCCCTCAGGGCCCCCTTTCTCCGCGCCCTCCTCCTCTTACTCCGCTCCGCCTCCACAGATTCGGTCCGTGCAGAGGAAAGCGACGGCGACGCCACGGCTCAGGATGCAACTCTAAGAGGGTTATATTCGGCATCGGCGCTGCTAGATCTCCGCGGCCCAAACGCGGCCCAATCTGGCACGATCCCGTCGAGTTTCGTTTAACTCCGCTCTGTCCGGCTTCGTCGGGTTGAATTATGATTTCAAGTCGAGTTGATCCGGCTCAGTGGCCACCTCGTCGGGCTGAATAGATTTTAACCGTTCTGGCGGCCAGCTCTCCGCGGCTGCGACCATCGCCGCCCCGCCCCACCTCGCAGACCTCGAGACCCCGCACCCCCTCCCCAGCCCCTTCCCCGCCCGTGAGCAGAGAGGGTGGTGGGAGGAGGGGGGGACGAGGACGGTGGCTGGAGGAGGGTTGAGGCGGACGAGGAGGACGAGCTGACGAAGACGTCCCAGGAGTTGCCTTCCAGGCGACGGCGACGACAGCGGCGACGGCGAGTGCGACGGCGAGTGCGACGGCAGCGACGGCCTGCTGCGGCGGCAGCCTGCGGCGAGACGGCGGCGGGCGAGCGCGCGCGGAGGCGGACAAGGCCGTCGAGGCCGCCTGCCGCGGCATCGCGGGAGCTGTCGGCGGGGCGCAGGGGGGGGAAAGGAAGAGGAGGAGGAGGAGGAGGAAGAGGAAGAGGAAGAGGAAGAGGAAGAGGAGGAGGAGGAGGAGGAGGAGGAGAAAGAGGAGAAAGAGGAGAAAGAGGAGAAGGAGGAGGAGGAAGAGGAGGAGTAGGAGGAGGAAGAGGAGGAGGAGTAGGAGGAGGAAGAGGAGGAGGAGGAGAAGGAGGAGGGGGGGCGAAAGGCTTGGATCTAGGCATCCCAGATGGGGTCCCAGTAGACGGGCTCGGAGGCTCGCGCCGCTGTCAGAGGGTTCGGTAGCAAGTCACGGGAGCCGTGCATGCCTTCATTATTCCGTCTCTAGAGTGCACTAGCGTCGATGAGCGGCTGGTCACAGATGAGACAGCGCCGATTTAGCGTCCATGTATCGTCGATTGGCGTCGACTAGCGTCGATTTAGGGTCGACTGGCATCGGATAGCAGCGTCAGATGGGGTCCGAGTAGGTGGGGTCGGAGCGTCGCGCCGCATCGGCGATGCAGCTCGATGTGGATCCCGGCTTTCTCCACGCCGACGGCGCCGATGCATCGGCGACGCGGCGCGATCTCCCGACCCTGTCTATTCGGACCCCATCTGGGAGGCCACTGCCACGGCCACTATTGGAGGTTCGATGTTTTTGGGCGTGGTCGTGGGTCTTCGGCGGTGATCGCGCCTCGGGGTGCTTTCCAGCGACTGCGCCTCGCCGAGAGCGTTCCGGGGGTGCCCAGATCGTCCCGAACGGCCGCCCGGGGAGCCGAGGTATGACCCGAAAGCCAGGGGGCAACGGTTGGAGGGGATCGGTTCAGGGGAGGTGCATCGACCTCCTATCGCCCATTTATCGCCAGCAATGCGGGCCCGATAGCCCACTCCGCGCAGAGACACACGGATTCGCTGTCGGTGGCTTGTCGCCGATCCATCGGCGATGTATCGCCGCTTCAAGCTCGATGCTCCCCCCTGAGCTGGTCCCCCCTTGCGCTCCCCCACAATAGGCAGGGCATGAGAGACGGATTAGCAAGGGAAAGGGACGCCAGGCCGAAGCGAAGGCAACCGAATGTCTGTCAAGTGCCACCCTCGACCTCAGATCCATGGACGGCCTTCAGCAGAATGGCTCTGACAGGCCACGGCGGGACCGAGGGGAGCAGCTGCCAGAGCCGATATTGGTGCCGTACCAGGTGTCGGGGGCAGAGCTCAGTCAGAGGACCCGCGCCTTGCTCAGAGAGTCTGACGACTTCGGCCGAGCCTGCTCTGTCAGTCGCTTGTACCGCAGAGCAGTTTAGATGGCTGCTGGGCATTCGTGGTCGTCAACGAGACTCTCACCCAGCAGGTCCGCCCAGGGCCGAATGTACGCGTTTTCGATAATGTTCCCGTCTATATGTTTGGCCGTGTGTAGCCAGTCTGTGCCGGGAACAAGTATTGGCTAGAGCTGGAAATATTAAAACTCATTTATGAAGGATGTGTTGTTTGCCAAATGTATTATTCGGCAGGATTGAAAACGGCAAGGTCGAGCCGAGCGATCAGGCCGCGCCACTCCCAACCGACCGGCAGTAGCAGATGGGAGGCAATTTTGCAGGGGACCTCCACCAGCTTGGGCATTGCAGCGGCGGCTACGAGTGCGGCGTCCGCGCGAGACCCGGAAGGAAGATGTTCGGGCGGATGGGGAACAGGACAGAGGAAGTTTCGCTTGGAAGACGTCCGCGGTGCTTGCCCGTGTCAGAACAGCCCTGGGTGCATTAGGCCGTGCTGCCTGCCTCGCAGAGGGGTACAGAGCAACATAGAGAGAGAGGGACTACAAAAAAACGCCCCAGTTCGGACGTGGTGTTTGTCCGCGCCTCCTGCCCAGACCTCTTTGGCGGGAGGGGCCACATGTAAATGGCAGGGGTGGCAAAAAAAGAAACCTCCCCCCCCCCCGACGCGGTCGAGAGGAGCCCGACTGGAACAGCGAGCGGGTCGTGGCGATCAGGGCGCGGCACACCCCGTCTGCACACCCGAACAGATGAGGGGGCTCTGGTTTGGCCTGCGCGCCTTGGCCTGCGCGCTTCGGAGCCCCGGAAAAGCAGGCGCCGCGTTGGGGCACCCCCCTCGGCGCCCCGGTGCCAGGGTCGCGAGACAAGTTGCCAGGTGTTCCCGCAGCGCACGGAAGGAACACGCAGGGAGCCTGGAGCTGGGTATCGCTCGGGCGTGTGCACGTGTCCTTCGGCGAGGACAGTCTGGGACCATCCTTGATCATTTGGCGAAATCACCACGCACGAACCTTAAAAAATCACAGAGGATGGACGTCCGAGCGATGGCGAGAGAGCTGGTGCGCGAGCGGTGGGCCGCAAATCGCGCCTGGAGATGTTCCCAGAGAGCGGCCCCAACGGGAAGCACGCGCGCGGACGACGTGTCCCTCCAGGCCGACTGTGCTTTCTGGAACCTGTCAAGGAGGGGTCTTGATTGTTGCTGGATGCCACGCAGCTTGCGCGTGAGGCTGGAGGCCCGCTGCGCCGTGCAGCTCGTGGCCGGCGCGGCTTCGCCCGGGGCCGGCCGATGTCTGGCGCCGCGGTGAGGCGCTGCGTGAGGGCACGGCTCCGATCGGCGAGCTGCGCTGGTGCCGTTCGGGCACCTACACCCTGGCGGGTGGCACTCGGGCCCGAATTGCACCATCGAGCGCGCCATGATCGACTGCACGGCGCAAAAATCTGGATTCTTAAAACAAATTTTCAAATCTCTCAGAATCTCCAAAAAAAAACGACTCCAGGTTGACACATTGTCCGTTCTGGCCGGTTCGGCCAACTAGCTCCACCCCGCGCCCGAATTCCTCTTAGCTCATTTGGTCCCCGTTCCCCGGCGGGGCGGGGGATTTGCCAGGCGGAGGTGGCAGGATGCGCTGCGATGGGGGAGGCTAGCTGTGACGGTACTGTCCGCACTGCCTCCCGCGCGGTCCAACTCCAGTTGTCCTGCGCAGTTCGCGGCGTAGCGCCCGAGGTGGGGCCCTGGTGGACCCTCACCTCCTGGGGCCTTCGTGGACAAGGAGGCGCACCTTCGTCCTCCGCGTCGCGACCGTCGCTGTCGCGAATTCCCGGCGGGGGAGGAGCGCGTCAGCGTCGAGGGCCCCCTCGCGAGACCAAGTGGGCCGCCCTTGCCTCCCTCGAAGCTGTCGGGGGGGGGGGGCTCCCCGCGGATCGCCGACGTCACTGTAGACTCGTGGCCCTGGCGGGCCTCGAGAGCGCCGCGCGTCGCTGGGGGGGGGGGCCCGGCGGCTCGCCCCCGCCGCCCCCCGCTGGCGAGGGGGTGGGATTTCGCCCGGCGGAGGTTCGGACCTTCAGGACCAGAAAATGAACCCCCACCCCCGATGGCACCCTTGAGATTGCGTTTTGGGGCCTAGGTGTTTGTTCTGGGGGGGGTTCTAATGCCCTTCCCTCCCCTATTCTTCCTCCCCCTAGATATGTTCCCTATCCCTCACTCTCCTGAACGCGCGGGCTGGCAGCTCCAGGTCGACCTGGAGTTGCCAGCCCGCACGTCTGGAAACGGCAAGGCCCGGCGACGACGGCCACACATCGCAGCCGCCGCGACGTGGAGGACGGCCGCAAGAGGCACGCTGCCGCTCGGCCGCGTCGACGACCTCTCGAGGGGAGGGGGGCGCACGCGGGCCCCCCGCTGCCGCTGGCTCGCCCGCGCGGCGGTGGAAGCCCACGGCGATCGGCGAGCCGCGGCGCGCGTGGACACCCCTTGCCTTCCAAGGTGGCCTGCGACTTGTGGGGGACCTCGGGCGTGCCAGGCTTGGCCTCGACCGCCCGGTGGGTTCTCTGCCATGGGGCCCCGCGAGCGGGCCCCTGGTTCGCGGCGAGCTCCCTTCGAAGGAGAGGGGCGGCCGCTCCGCGGCGGCGGCGAGATGGAGCCGCGCAAGGGTCTCGGCACGCTGCGATGATTGCGCTCCGCTCAAGTCCGGCACGTCCCCCTGCAGAATTCAAAAATGCTCCAAAAATAGGCTGGGGCCGATTGTTCTACCATTTGTGTTTATTGTTAAGCTTTTTGACTATTTTTCATTTCTCTTCAAAAATCCGCCCGCGAAAGGACATGCCCGACCTAGCGCTACGCCATGCACTCGGGCAGAACGGTTCAACCGGCGGTCTGGCCCGCAGCGCACGCCGAAATTTGCGTTGGCGAGGAGGGGGCGGGCCTGGTGCGAGCAGGCCACATCCGCGGCCGCGCAGGCCCACTCAGCCCCTGCGGCGGGGCGGCGCCCAGGGGTGGGCTGCGGGAGTTCGTCTTGGGCGAGGTTGGCCTGGAGGTCGAGGAGTCGAGCGCCCTCTCTCAGACCGCAGCGCCGCATTCGCGGCGGGAGGTTTATCCATTGTTCATCTTGACGCTGGGGCCGTTCGCTCGCGAGCCCAGCAAGGGCATCTAGCGTCGCGTTCTTGAGCCTCCTTTTCTCGGGTGCACCAGCGGCGCGGCGGCGATGGGTCCGCCGAGATCCCCGCTCGCACCTGCCCCTGCTGGGCGCGGCCACCGCACGGGAGGTCGAGTTGCCACGCGGCCAATTTGGTTGTACTTCCCTACCTAGGCTCTGCCTAGAAGGGCTCTTACTCTCTGTGCTTAAAGGGGCTGGGCAGTGGAACTCGCCCCGGGCAGCTGCCCAGGCATCCGCCCCGCGGTTCCCCCAGTTACATCCCCTTAGCTTAGCGTTGCTTATCTCATCTTAGCTTAGCCTAGCTTAACTTAGCTTAGCCTAGCCTAGCCTAGCTTAGCTCAGCTCAGCTTAGCGCAGCGCAGCATCAGCATATCATAGCATATCATAGCATAACATAACATAGCATAACATAGCATAGCGCAGTATAGCATAGCGCAGCATAGCATAGCATGGCATGGCATAGCATAGCATAGCGCAGCATGCCATAGCATAACATAGCATAGCATAGCTTATCTTAGCATAGCACAACGCAGCATAGCATAGCATAGCAAAGCATAGCATAGCGCAGCATAGCATAGCATGGCATAGCATAGCATAG